AAAAGAATTAATACGGATTTAAAATTTGGTTTTTTATCAAGGCCCTTCATGAAAGTTAGGGTTTCCCTTTAAAACCATTTCCTTTAAATAAAAAGAAATGGAGCTAAACCATAATAAAGTTTGCTTTTTTAAAAGTTCTGCATGCAAAAATTTATGCAAAAATGTTAAAAAATGCCGCTCGAAAAACAAATAGTGCATTTGCGTCCAGTATGGATCCTGACCAGCCTGATCCATGCTGTTCTGAGTGACTATCGGTCTCTACTTGTTATAGAGTTTGTAAGCGTCAACAGCATGATCCTGATCTAGGACTGCATGGATGCGCAGGCTGGTCTGGATTCATAACTGCTGCAAATGCATTATGTTGGTTTTGTCATGATGCGGCTCAAATGCTTTTTTTTGTCATGATTTAAGAAGACTAAATTCCATTCATTTTTAGCATAACAAAGAATATTTCTTACACTACAAAAAAAGATTTTACAATGTTAATATTCATAATGCAAGAAGACAATATTAAGACAAATTTGTGAATTATTTGGAACGTTTCATTGGTCTGAATTCTAAAGAAGAGTAAAGAATTAACCAATCCAAACACTTGTCTTTAAATGTTTAATGCACTAAATTGAAAAAGTTGTTAAAACAAAAAATAATAAATTGCTAAACTGTATTTTCATGCTGTATAACTAACTATACATGTAGATATACATATATATTCATTACAATCACAAAATTACAATTAAAAAAATTAATATAGAATATCTATAAACAGTCATCAACTCTAAAGCAAGTATTATTGCCAGTAATAAAAAAATCTTTACTTAATTATGTATAAATTGCACTATTAAAATTTAGGCACTAAATTTGTACGAAAATTGCAGATTTCATTTAACATGCAAATTTGCCAAGTCAAGTGCATGCATCAAATACACGCTCGTGTATAACAAAATTACATTTTTTATAATTATGATATGTTGACATATAAATATAACTGTGTAATTTAAGGTAAGTCTTACTGTAATACTTCTCCGCAAAAAAAATGTCTTACATCGGCCAAATATCGTAATAATATGTCTTTACGAAACATTTATTTTTCACAATTTTCAAAATTCAATATAACCGAAATTTAGATAATAGCTTATAAAAGATGACGTGATTGTAAATAATATAATGCCCCAAGATTTTGAAAAAAATTAAGTTTCCGGTAATAACAATTTGCTATCGATATCGAACCGATGTTAGATATTTTTTGGCGGGAAAAGCATTACATAAGACTACCTTAATTTCAGTAATTATGATATAAAACATGGTAAACAAACATTAGTAAACAATTTAATTATCCCATTAAGCTAAGCAAGAAGCTTAGAATGAATGTAAAGGTAAAAACATGTGTTAGGAAAAAATATTATTTATAATTTGTGGATAATAAGGAAAACATGTGTAGAAATTCTTAACACAAAAGGTGTGTAGGTATTGGTAACATGACAATTGTATATGAGAAAAGTTTTTTTATTTTAAATGCTGGGTAGCAGTTCAACCTGGGGACAAACAATGCAGAAGTTGGCGGCCTCATTATCATAAAATTGTCTTCCATAATTAAGGCCCATGTCACACCATCATTTTATCATGTTTCTTTGGGTAAAAACGTTTTTTTTTTAATTTGTAAATGTGGGTTACAAAATATTCCCAAAGTATGAAAATTTTTTAAAACTCATTTTTATTAAAGGGACTTAATGCAAACTTTCTGAAAAAAATTTTCTTTGTCATTTTTATAATTAAAATTCAGCATTTTATTTATTTGATTTATCACAAATATGAAAAAAAGTGAAAAATAACTGGTTAAACTTTTATTAAATTTAAAAGGGAATTTAACCTTCACCCCAAAATTTTGGTTTTGTTGGAGGGTCTATTGAATGTCAATCAGCACCCAATGGTTAAAAAGACGGTTTTCCCAAAATTGCTGGGGGGCCCAGTTAAATTTTAAGCCCCAGTTAAACCTTACGAAAAAACATCGTTTTTGGGAGCGATTAAAACTAGTTTGGAGGGGTTTTGCTACGGAAAAAAATTTTATTAAAAGTGAACTTAAATGCAAAAAGAGAAAATTTTTTCAAAAAAAATGCCAATTTTTTTTTGTTGTTGTTGTTTTTTTCTTTGTTTTTTTTTTTAATATTTACTTAAAATTAATTAATTACTGTTTTTCATGAAAAAATGTCTTTTAAAATCACTAAAAAAAAAAGTTAAGTCTAAAAATATTGTAACTTTCGTAAAATTTAAAAAAGCAGTGTTAAATATCCTATTGATTTTTGTTTATTTTCTAAAATTTTTAAAATCCCCTAAATACATGAAAGTATCTTAAAAAAGTTAAAAAATTAAAAAAAAAATTCTTATCTTCTTGTACCGACTTATACCTTTCTGAAACATTTTTCCTGAAATTTAAAAAAATCGTTTTTCAAAATGACGAAGCTTCATGTTTGGGTAGCTCAGCCAAAGGGAATTTAAAGTTTTAAAGGCCTTTTTCATTTAAGCGGGAATAAAATTTTAACCAAAGTGTTAACAAAAAAACATTTAAAAACATTCTGCTATATTTTATATTTTAAATTAAAACCCATAATTATTTTCCTTTCAAAATTTTTTTATTGCCAAGTTATTGATTATCAAAATTTTTTTCATTTCAAATTTTTTCTTTTTTATCTTAGGGTAGGGAAATTAAATAAAACCAAAAATTTTGTGAATTTTAAATTTATCAAGAATTTCCCCTCACCCGGTTTATAAAAAATCGATTGAAAAATTTCTTTTAAAAAATTTTGCCTTGCCCTTTTTTCTTGGTTTTGGAAATTTATTTAAAATATAAAAAAAACTCCGATATACACTTACCTGTTTTCTAATAGGGATAGACTTTATTTAATATATTAAAAAAAGGTTTTATCAAAAGGGTGTGTTAAAATCTTTCTTTAAAAAGGTTTTTTGAAATTACTGATGAAAAAATTTAAATTGTATGAATGATTTCTTAAGTGACAAAAATGTACTAACCTAAAAAAATTGTGATTTAATAAAATTTTGGGGAAAATAAATTTTTTTAAAATAACGTTGCTGTGAAACATAAAACCCCTGTTGATTATATATATTATATATATTTCAAAAACACCCAAAGTATTACGTTTAACTTTTTGATGTGACTTATAATAATTATAATGTGCACCTTTTCTTATAATATCCGAAGCTCTATTCAATATTATATTAACATTAATTAATCTATTATAACGGGTAAAAAAAAAAATCAACAACAAAATCCACATGCTTCAAAACTGGTGAATTCAACAATATACAGTCATATAGTACAAATTGATTTAAAAAAATTGGACAAAAGATAAGGCAATGAACCAAAAGAAAAGAATAAGCTGGCCTTCTTAAAGTATGATTTTTTTTTTATACAATCTATTTAAGCAAAAAGATTTAATAATTCTTTGTCAAATTAAAACTTAAAAGTCTCCAGTCACAAAATTGAAATGACATTAATGATTTTTATTTTTGTTATAAAAGTTTAATATTTACCTCCCATGTCAAAAGTGGCAGCCATTTTGGGGGTCATTATTCCGTATAATAAAATTGACAAAATATGAGAAAAAAAAATTATTATATTGGGAATGACCATCAAAAATGGCTTCCAGGGGAAGAAATAATTGCTATGTGAAAAGCATTCCTGGAGTATAATAATAAATTTTAAATAAAATTCAGTACAGACGTTAATGTGTCAGTAAATATTCGAGTTCAAAACCTATACTTCGGAAACTATTTTTATCTTTTTATAATTAAGTTTTATATAAATATAAAGTAAAATCCCATTGTATTAACATCAATTTTGTTTGCTATATTCTAAAGTTAGAAAAAGGCCAGCTTTTCATAAAGTGGGTGCACTCACTACGTATATAGAACAGAGTTATTTTAAAGCAAACCCAAATTCTCTCATTTGGCATTATTTGTAATAGTAAAAAAAAATTGCAAAGCATAACAGATACATAATGTACTCTATTAATTCCTGGAAATGTTTCTTTTTTTATTTATATTTCATTAAATTTTGTAAAACAAATATTTCTATCAGTGGTAATATATTTATGGCATCGATTTTTTTGGACAAATTTCACTATAAATACTTTTTAAAAATTGGACTATAAATCCTCATTTAAAAAAAAAAACTCAGAGAAAATTTTTTTGTTAAAGCATCTCATTACAGACCACCCCCCCCCCCCCCCCCCCCAAAAAAAACCCCCCCAAAACCCCCGTATTCAAACAATTATTTTTTTTTTGAAAAATTACCGGAAAAAACAGGCCCTTGACCCGTTTTTTTTTAAAACTGCATAAATTTAAATATGACATTAAAGCGCATTCTGACCTTCTCTAATTTTTAAAAATTTTTAAAAAATTTTATTAAAAAATAAAAATTTTTGAAGGAAAAAAACATAATTTCAATTAAAACACACTTTATACATTAAATTTCCATAAAAAGGGAAAAAATGCAAAAAAATTTACTTTTCTGCCTTCCCCAGAAACAGGAAAAAACATAAATTTGGGAAAAATTTTTCAAAACGGCTAAACCCCCACATAAATAATTTTTTTATTTCTTTTTTCTTGAAATTTTTTTTAAAATTTTTAAACTGTATTTTTATTTTAAATTTTATTTTTCTGGGGTTTAATTGGAGGTGGGGTTTAATTTCATGAGTTTTAAAATTTATTGAAATTGCTTTTTTTGAATTTTCCTTTATTTTTTGTTACTAATCTAAAACAAACCTTTCTGGTAGGGTTTAAAATTTAAAAAAATAAAAAAATTATTCAAATTATATAGCCGTGCCGACAAAACCAACATAAAGCGTTTTCGACCACATGGACCCAGACCCGCCCCGATTCCCCGTTGCTTCGTTTTCCAAATCTATAACAAGTAGAGAAACTGATAGCGAACAGCATGGATCCTGATCAGACTGCACGGATGCGCAGGCTGGTCTGGATCCATGCTGGTCGCAAACCCATTATGTTGGTTTTGTCATGACACGGCTCATATTCAAATGAAAATAAAAAGTTTTGAACAATTTGTTTTTTCCCAGGATTAATAGAATACAAGATGCATGACCTGTGTATATATTTACTGAGCTATATACCTTGGCTGGATATTTGGGGTCATGTAATAATTCCTGCTCCTGGTGAAGATGTAACAAATAAAAAATATTTAATAAAATATTTACTGGTTATGTAGCATGTATATACATGTATATATCACACAAAAAAGAAATAGGAGAAATTTAAACACCAGGGCTGCGTTTCAAAGAAAGTTTTATCCTAAGTCCTAGGACTTAAGACAAACAATAGGGCTAACTTTAAACAGTTTCAAAAAATATTTTCATCTATAGTTAGAGTCTAACACTATTATTTAATTCTTTTCCCCAATGTGTAAATCTTCATTTACATTTGCTGTTCAGAAATTGGAAAGATCTAAAACTAAAAGCGTAAATTTGGTAAGTTTTTGAAACAAAAAATGTCCAAAGGTTTTGTTATTGGGGAAATTTTTAGACTTAGAAAACGTAAACATTAGTTTCTCAGGAGTATATATTGTACTCACGGAATCTCACTGATATTTCTTAAACATTTAATCTGTAAAAAAAAAAACTTTAAAACCCGGGAAACACAGTTACCCGTGTGTAATTTTTGATTTTCCTGATAAAAATAAACATAACGAAGTAAGAAGGCACTTGGGGACACATGAAAAAAAACAAGGTGGCCATTTTAAACTGTTAAGTTTCAATAAACTGTTTTGAAACTTATAGGGGTTTTTATAAAAAAAAAATTTTATCACAATTTAACAAATTAAAAGTCTAAAAAAGAGCTTTTGATTAAGTGTTATGTTTTAGGTTTTTCCCAATTTTTTGCTAACAAAAACAAAATTTATGCTAGCCCCCCCCCCCCCCCCCCACAAATCATAATTTGTAACATATAGTGACCGATTACACCATATTACAATTTTATTAAGTTTTGTTGCAGTATTTAAATTCTATAAACAATCAACTGATAAAAAATCAGACTCAAACTTTTTGTGACTACCTTGATTTATAAATATAATTATTCCCACCAAAAATCCAATTTGTAACTTAGTACACTGTACAAGGAAATAACCATAAAATCAAAATTTTACAAACAGAAACTGAAAAAAAACAAAAACAAAAATTAAACCATGTTTTGATCCCAGCAATTTATACCTTTTACATATGCTCATCTATTGCAAAGTTCTCCTGTAAATAGTGTAAATAACATATATTCTGTTCCTTATTTTTTTGTTGTTGTATTTTAGATCATAACTGAGTATTATTGAGTTTCCAGCTTTACTGATGGAGGTCAGACATACATGAGAGATGTCACTCTGCAGGGCGAGTAAAATCAAATTTTGACTTACTAAAATCCATTTTCATCTGAAGCATTTCTTAACTTGTACATATCATTTTTATATAGTATATTTATATCGTAAATGATAATTTTATATAGTATATTTATATAGAAATCTTGAATAATTCCACTTGTCCATACAGGGTGCCTTGGGACCGATGTGAGCAATAAATGAACAATTGATTTTGCCGCACCTTCATGCTTTGTTTGTTTGTTTGTTTGTGTCATTTTACGCCTTTTTCCAACAGACTATTTCAGTCATATAGGCGGGTAGTTTCCTAACCATCGTTCCTGGAGAGTTACACCAGTACTTGACTACCTTCCTCCGCGCTAAACTACCAAAGCATCTCCCGGGGATCGAACCCACACCAGAGAGGTAACTGGATTAGAAGTCATCGACTCTAACCACTCGACCACGGAGGCGGTTGCACCTTCATGCATTATTTCTGGCAGGAACAGGCACCGACTGGTAAGAACCACTAATCTTCTGTAAGCTAGCTGAATAGTTTCCTGACACATGATCCCCCCCTCCCCACCACAACAGATACAATCAATCTTTAACAGTTATATAACCTCACCGTGCCCTACAGGTCACAATAGTTTATAGTCAAACTGCTGCCCTTAATTTCGAAGCTGTAACTGTAAAGTTTGTACCCCTAGATTAGCTTGGAAAACCGCAAAATATTTTTAATTCTGAACTAAGTCGTCTGGTTCTTCAGGTAAAGAATAAGTGGGTGTACATTTTGTTTTGTTTTGTTTGTTTGATTGGATTTTACTTCGCACTGACATGGTATAGGTCATATAGCAAAGCTCCAGCTTTTCTGGTGGAGGAAGACCTCCCAGGTGCCCTTTGTGTATAAATGAATTTATTTCAGGCACGAACTGGCACCTTGAGTAGAAACACCGATGTTCCATATGCTAGCTGGATAGCTTCCTCAAATGAAAGAAATCCAAGACCCTGTCGGGATTCGAACCCACAGTCAGATGAGGGGCATGTGGCTTGAAGTCAAGGACCTTTTCCACTCCGCTACGGGCGCCCCGTTGAAATTAAAGAGAAATTCAGATAGAATGATTAGTGGTTAGTTTGAAGACAGACGATCACAAAATCTGGTCACTGCAAACAACAGGTGATGATGTGTTGATATCAAACTTGCTAAATACTACTAAAATAGTAAATATTCAGTATGAGTCTCAGTCAGTTGATGAAAGAAGGCTCCTGGAGGTGTGTACAGAATACTGTTCTTATATAGATTTCACTATTAGAAAGTGGGTGATTTTTTATCTAGGGTGTTATATAAAAATACTAATCTATGTAAAAACTTGCTATTATTTACTAAAATAATAAAAAATTCAGTATCACTTTCAGTAAGAGGTTGAGAGAGGGATCCAGTGTATCAGTATAGATTTCAGTATCAGAAACTCGGTGATTTATAGTTTAGTGTGTAATAAAAACTAATCTCTAAACTAAGAAAGATCACTATTTAGGAAACACACAATTCTATAAAACATAAAACTTTCCTCTAAAGGGACTATACATAGTCTGTAGAATGATGATGTAAGACAAAAGTAACCATTTCAGTTAAAAGATACATGTCAATCTTATTGCTAAATAGATACCGCATAAACATGTTATAATGTTGCTTTATGTATGTACGGCAATATGGCAGAATAAAAAGTCAAAAGTACTACAAATTATATGTATAAATCATTCTTCAATTGAACTTCTTGGTAAAGGTTTGATTGTTTGTTTTTTTGTTGTTTTTTTTTCGTTCTTTCATCTTTTCATCGTGCCACATTAGTATAACTTATAAAGCATTAATACACATATCAGGTACAGTACTTTAAATGATTAAGTCAGAAATTATAGAAACAGAAGTTTAAAATATTATATTATAGTAAGTTTTCTAACAATAGATAGAGGAAATTCAAGGTTTTTCTATAAATACAGGACATATTTTAATCGAATAATATTAAAATAAATATTTCATTAATGGCGGAAGCCACAAGTGAAATCTGATCATCTTTATACCACAAGATGAAAATAAATCCTGTATTTATAGATATAACTTGAGTTTTCTAATTTTCTGTTTATAATATACAATTTATTTTCTCTTTTTTGACATACAATTTGAAAGGTTTCCCCTTAAATATTGTGTACTGGCTAAATTAAGAAGAAAATAGTCAGGCAAGACACCATTGAAAATACCGAAGAAAATATGTTTCACTGCAGTGCACAATGTTTACAGTGAAAATATGGAAAATGAAAATACGCATTTTCATTTATCAACATTTCTAATATTTCATTTTCAAGAATATAATAAAACATATAACTATGAACACAGCTTGTTATACGGAACACTGAAAATGTTGAAACCAGAACAAACACAGTTAGTAAACTAATTATCTGTGTAGAGAAAGAAGACATGTGTACGAGATAGAATTAAAAACTTGTTAAAGTCAGTATCACGTTTCTTACGCAGTTAAATGCTTGAAAATTCCTCGGACTTTTTTCCCTACAACATATAACACGATAAATCAATCATCTTGGTGTAAAATAATAAATGTGTTGCAAATAAAGAAAGAATAAATATACTTAAGAAAGTTTTTATAAGCCAAGTTATTAAAGATAAGTTATAAATATGCTCAAATTTGGTATTTGCCAATACTCATATTGCAATATAGTGTCTTTTTTTTTTTTTAAATGACATAAATATAATTGAAAAATACACACAGATTACTAGATTACTGGTAATAACATAGTTTGGTAAAGTGTCATTACAAAAACTAGCAGTTCCTTTCAGAACGGACCAAGAGCAGTAAATATAGGGAATGCAGCTTCCCAAACATCATATGCTGATTGTGCATTCTCTTTTTTAAATTAGACAAATAGAAACTATTCATCAAGAAATTCCTAGATTTCAATATAATTTCTGCAAACAAAGATGAGCATACCAGTATATGTATATCTTTATGTATATAAAAATGAAGAAACATGAAGAAACGTTTAATTAAACAATAACATTGAAAAGTCAAGAGTTTGGGGAAAAGTTTTGGTATATTTATACATGTCTCGCCTGATTAAAAATTCATTCACATGCAAATTGGTTTCCGGCAACACAAGGTCTTCCTTGAATGAATAGAGGAACCAGTCTAGAAACAATCAACACTGTATCAGTAAAATCTAAGGTATTCCAAAAATTGTTTTCCAGCAGGTGCTTGTTTCTTGACTGGTTCCCTTACCCTTGAATGAATAGAGGAACAAGTCTAGAAACAATCAACACTGTATCGGTAAAATCCAAGGTATTCAAAAAATTTTTTCCAGCAGGTGCTTGTTTATTGACTGGTTCCCGTACCACAGCGTCCTTTCCTTGAATGAATAGGAAACCAGTCTAGAAACAATCAATACTGTATCGGTAAAATCTAAGGTATTCCAAAAATTGTTTTCCAGCAGGTGCTTGTTTCTTGACTGGTTCCCCTACCACAGGGCCTCTTCCTTGAATGTATAGAGGAACCAGTCTAGAAACAATCAACACTGTATCTGTAAAATCCAAGGTATTCCAAAAATTGTTTTCCAGCAGGTGCTTGTTTCTTGACTGGTTCCTCTACCACAGGGTAGCTTCCTTGAATGACTATGGGAACCAGTTTAGAAACAATCAACACTGTATCTGTAAAATCTAAGGTATTCCAAAAATTCACGAATTCAAAAACCTAGCTAAACGCCGTTTTCCAGTACTTTCTGTACATGGCTCTGGGAAATTCACCTAATGTAGTGTAATAGCGAACTCGATGTTTTCGGCCTTTTTTTAAAATTAAATTGGAATAAAACAGTTATTTCTTTATAAGAAAATAACTAAATATCATTGTATGAATAATTCCATACAAAAAATAAAGTAAATACACAAGTTTATGCAGAAAATAACCTTATTTAGTATGGAAGATTCCACTACGTCTGTTTGAATTTTATTGATTTTCATTATAAATAATTTATTTTTTTGAATAATTTGCAATAGATATTAATGGAATATTGATAATTTAAAAAAAAAATCTTTTTTTTCACCTTAAACGGTTAAATAATGATAGAAAAATAGAAATATCACGTAACTGTGTTATGTACTTTTGGTGTATTATTCCCCAAAGCTATTAATAATAACGGTAATGTACCAAAAAACGGTGTTTAGCTAGGTTTTCGAAAAAGTCAATTGTTTTCCAGCAGGTGCTTGTTTCTTGACTGGTTAACAAACTTTAGGTGGTTAGGGTTACACATTGGGAAGCATTTTAATACAAACCAGTCAATTTTCAGGGACAATTTTATTGGTTGCAAACAAGGAATGTTTGGGACTTTGCTACATGTAATAAAATGAAAAATAAAAATATAAAATCATCATCATTGTCACAGGGCAATAAGTATTGGCAATGACAAGTGTTTGGGATTAGTATATTAAATTAATATAAGCTATCATGCTATAGGACTTTATTATTCTTCAGCTTTTGTTTTCTTTTTGGTTTAATGTCAAACAAAAACAGTAAAGTAATGAAAAACGGGATCCTTTCAAAAACGCCCAAAATCACAATAATGTGATAATATGGTGGTCATCATGGAACCTTCAATGTGACACTTTAGTTGCAATTTCTATGAAAAGCTGCGTTACTGGTCCCCCCAGTAAAAGAGTGTGTCCTGAAAGGTCAATACTTGGCATTTTCTTCAATCTTTTATTGGACATAATATAAAAGCAGGAAACATAATTTATACTTCTTGGATTTCTTTATAAATAATAAAAGTTAATGTAAGTGAGTATATTATGGTCTGATTATGTGACAGATGCTATTTCACTTCTTATTGTAAGGATACAATCATGTCCGTTACACAAAAATTACATCTTGGGGATTACATTATGGGTATAATTATCACTTTAAGTTCTGTATACTGCTCATACTTTACCATTTACATATCTGTTCTCTTTTTCTACAAAATGTTTATTATTTATTGAAATAATTTAAGTTACAGGTATTCATTTATAGGTACCTACCTGTTAGAAATATCATTGTATCAGGTGCAGGCAGAATATTATCATAATATATGACCAACTCATTTACTTTCTACAAATTACAATTAATATGAATACCTACACACAGATTTTCACCTATTCCTGGAATGAATCTTTCAGTTTGATTAGAATACGGTTCATTTAATCTGAACCTTATAAACCAGCTCAAGTTGTGTAATATGGATTGTTCAAGCTTTGAATTTAGGAAATTAGTCTGGTGGAAATCTAAGAAAGTTTAATACAATAAATGAGCTATGATATGAAACAAAGAGCATAATTATATAGCCAGATATGCAGGCATATGTGAAGGTCTGTACTGGGTAGCAAAGGCTTATAAATTTTGGATCTTGAAGATGGAAAGGTCTGTGTGTGTTAATTTTATATTGGGCAGTGTATGTGTTATAATTTGTACTGTTTGGATTGAAGGGAAAAATGTGCTGCAACATTTTCCAAAGGAACTCATGTTAATCTTTGGTAAAAGGTCAAGTAAAGGTCTGTTAAAGGTCAAGTAAAGGTCAGGTAAAGGGCAGGTAAAGGTCAGATAAAGGTCAGGTAATGGACAGGTAAAGGTCAAGTAAAGGTTAGGTAAAGGTCAGATAAAGGTCAGGTAATGGACAGGTATAGGTCAAGTAAAGGTCAGGTAAAGGTCAGGTAAAAGTTAAACAATCAGACATAGTGTATACAGAGAAATATCTCTAAGGTAACTGATATGAATTTGCTAGATTTTGTGAGACATTTACAACAATTTCATCATTCTTTTAAACAAATGATTCATATTAAAATTTTATACATGCCTTTTTTAAAATATTTTCTATTTCTTTTCTTTTTTAATGAATGATTGTCATTTAATAATTGTTGCAAAAAAGTACCAATAAAACCATAGTAACTAATATGTCCTTAACTATCAAACAACCCAAATAAATCAATATAATGTATACACTGTGTTGTACCCCATATGGATCTAAAAATTGTGCATTTAATTTTACATGAGGGCTTGAAAAGTTTAAAACTTATCCCTTGATTGTGACCTATTTTCTCTTTTACATAATGGTGTTATACTCGTAGTGCATGCATGGATCAGAGGAAATTCACATATTTTTTTAACAATGCTCAATTTTGTGATCCATATGTAGTTCACCTACACTGTCATACAATGGAAGTTTTTTTGTACTGTTTAAACATCAATCAATGAATCAATGAAGGAGACTGGTTATCTGTCACTTAAATTTTCACGAAAATCTAGCAATGCATCATGGGAAAAATTTTGGTAATGTACATGTATGTATATTGTTTAACAAACCGAAAGTATGGTATGGAGTAACTTTGTTGGTTTTCTGAAAATAACGGTCATCTTAAAAAACTTAAAATCTTAAATATCAACATCACTTCCATCACTGTTTAATAATTTATACTGTTCTCATGCCTAAATCTTGTTGTCCATCATTTGTTGAACAATTTATTGGTTAAACCATCTGAGAACAGTGTGAATAGTGTATCAGTCCATAAAGTTGCAAGCTTTCCATCAGACCATTATCTATCTATTGGTTCACAGTTTTGAAAGCTGTATATTGTGTCATAATTATTTGTGTAAGCTGTGTATTAGTCCTCAGTTTTGTAAGCTATGCAGTGTTGGTTTAACAATTTTGTTAGCTATGTTTGGTCCCTAAATTATGCAAGCTGCGTTTTGGTCTCAAATTTTGTTAGGTATGTTTTGGTGTACAATATTGCAAGCTATGTATACAAGCTTTGTATGGTTTCACAGCTTAATCATGCATTTGACAACAATAATGTTAGCTTTATCCAAATTTTATTAGCTATATAAATTTTCTAAGCTATATAATGGCCAACAATTTATAATGCAAGCCATGTTTTGGATTCAAATTTATTTAGCTATATAATGGTCCAACATAATGAAAGCTGTGTTTTGGTAGCTATGTAATGGTCCAACATAATGAAAGCTGTGTTTTGGTAGCTATGTAATGGTCCAACATAATGAAAGCTGTGTTTTGGTAGCTATGTAATGGTCCAACATAATAATAGCTGTGTTTTGGTAGCTGTTTATTGGCCCACAATAAGGCAAGCTGTGTTTTGGATTTTATTTTTGAAAGCTATGTAATGTTAAACAATTTCACAAGCTGTGTTTTGTGTCCAGAGTTGTATAAGGTAAATAATGCAAGCTTTATCAGTTCAAAATTCTATGAACTATTTCAACTGACAATTAATTTACTAGTAATTAGAGCCCACAATTTCATTAGCTATATATATCTGTTCACGCACTTTTTTGTTAGCAATATACAAGAACTAATCTAAGCATTAACAAATGCGTCACCCCACGTTTAAATTATAGACATGTTAATGATATATAGGTCAAGGTCATTTCACTACAATCACGTGGCGTCTTACCCGGCCATAATGATAGTCTCTCTCCCGTCGTCCTCTTTCCTTCTCATACTGACAAAATGTAACAAATTTTTATATAAAAACTTTTCTACCCTTTACCCTGCTGATTTTACAAAATGGACTGACCCTTGCTTTGAATTTGGAACAGTCCATTCAAAGTTTAAAGCAGCATGCCTCCAGTTGAGCAAAAAAAATATCAAGAGAATCACACTTGAGAAAAGTGTACTAAGATTTTTTCAAAAAATTAAGATGATTTAAGATTCAAGTAATAATCTACTTGTTCTGTGCAATAAAATGAATTCTTTATCCCCATATTTGCTTTTGCATGACTAAAGCAGTAAGAGTTATGTCTGCATATTTTGACTTCATTTAAGTAAATTATGACGATTGTAAGTAAAGAAAGGATGCAATGTGTAAATTACTTTCTTTGTACGTATCACAATATTTTACTTTCCAAAAAAAAAATTCAAAATTTTTTCCTGCAAATAAGCATGAATCTGCAGGCATGCTGCTTTAAGAGATTTAAGTGTCAAAAACATAAAAAGTAAAAACTGAGCTTCCAGAGGTATAGAGCCTGGTCAAACTGTAGGGATAGTTCAAGCTGGCGTGACTCTATACTGGTGGCAAAATGCTTAAATCACCTATAGTCCCAGCAGTGTCAAGGTCAACTAATTAGCTTCTTCTACAAGATATAGAATTGTCTTAGTTTTATGCTTATCACATACCCATACCGATTTTGTGACACCATAAAATTGGTATTGCATGGACGTTCAAATATTTTGACGTAACGTCATTTACGTTATATAAACATAATGTAATGACATGCTAAATGTTAATGTAACACCATATGTGCTTCAATGAAAAATTGATTCTTTTCGCACTATTAACAGTCTTCATTTTGGGTATGTGATAAATAGAATATTATATTTGTCTAGGTTCATTACTATATTTATTGAACTTGTTCGATAAAATAATATTTTGCTCACCAGAGGCTCGCATAATATAATTTTATTCAACTCGTTCAATAAATGCAGTATTGAGCCTACACTTATTCAATATTCTGTATTTTCTAAGTTGTTTATATATCCATTGTAAAAGCTTATTTAGTCAATTTTTTCATAATCCAGTATGACCACGTCTCAATGTCACCGTGACTAGAAACATAAAGTCGAAACTTCACAATGCAATTTTTTTTTCCCATATGAATAGTTGCTAAGAAAATTGACAAAACTTAGTGACATCTTTTTTAGAGCATCTTGACAAGATGTTTTCTTACAAAAGTTTCTACAGTACACAGACCAGTTTCTTTATATGAATTATTTTCATCTCTGAAACCCCTACTTGACTATCATTTTATTCAATATACATGTAAAGATCATATTTTGATTTTACTCCCTATGAAAAACTCTCTGACAAAAAATATTCTAATCGAACAAATCAGATTTTTTTTCATTAAGACTTGTATTTCTTTTAACAGTCATTTGTCTACATTTCATAGAATATTTAAGATTAAAAAAAAAAAATCAAAAGTTTTCATCGCCATGAAATTCTTTGAGATGTATCACTAAACATAATGAAAAAACTTACAGGTGTCTAAAAGTAAAATAAAAATATGTTATTAAAAATGATGTAGAAAAATATATGTTACGAAAAACTGAAAAAATTTTCAAATATTTGATTTACGTACCTGGGGATAGCGTACCGGTTGCGGTTGTGGAGGAAGTTGTCTGTTTTGATTTCTGCGCCGACGCAGAGTCATAGTCTCACTTAACTTTCGCGCCGGCTTGGCCTTGGGATTTGAACTTGGTGTGTGCACGGCACAAAACTTGATGAACAATCCCATAGCTATTACCAACCCTATACCCATCAACAACACAGCCCACCAATGCTCCTGAAGAATGAGCAAACAGAAAATCAATCAAACCATGAATAATACCTCTTGTGTCACCATTTTGTTATGTCATTTACTATCATAAAAGTAACATTATGCTCGTTTTTTTCATTGTCAAGTTGAGCTGAATTGACTCTATATTTCACAGATTGACTGTGTTATAATGGTGATTGCCCAACAGGTGTCATTGGAAAATACTATGGATATAATGTAAATCTGCTGAAAATATAAAAAGACTGCCCCAATCTTTTTATAAGATAAATCGAATATTATAGGTATATTTTGTATTCATTTACGGAAGCTTGCTTGACCCTGGTAACTTAAATATCCTTCATGTGCAGAAAATTATAAAATTAAAAGAATTATGGCAAAATATAGACTTGTCATCTTCGTGCAGTAAGGTACCTATACATTTTTTTAAAATGTCGTAAGACAAGAAATGAAAAATTTGTTAAGAAACATGCAATAATTAGTTACCACAATCCAGTTGGAAATGTCTTGCAAGGTTTCTGGATCGAAGATAAGATTTTTTAGTCTTGACAACGGTCCTTCAGCATCAACTCCACGGCAACGATAAAACACGTCGCAGTAACCTTGGAAATTGTTACATGGTGAACCTGTGAGAAATATAACATTATATTTTTTGTTGTTGTTGTTGTTGTTTTGTTTTACGTCTCAACAAAGAAGAGGTCATAAAGTGGAACAGTTATGTGATAAATTTCATAGCAGAAATCAGTAGATTAATTAAATACCGAAAAATAAAAGGTAGGAAGTGAAAACTTTGTAGAAACTTTGATGTACATTGTGTGTGTTTGAATGAATAATTAAAGATCCTGTTTTGGGGGTTTTACACAACCAACAAAATGGTTTGCGACCAGCATGGTAGAAGACCTGGGCTCGCGCATTTTTCAGGACCAACTGGCATAGTCCAACTTTGTAATAGGGTTTTCAAGGAAAGAATGATCCGGGGATTCGACCACGGGGTGGGGAAAGGTGGTTTGAATCAAGCTTCCCTCGGCCAAACCCCAAAAAGTTGTGTCAACATAATTATGTTTTTATATCATAAATATAATGCTGAAATGAAGATTTATCAATATTGTAAGTTCCAAAAAGCATTATTTGTAAAGATATTTCCAAATTTACATTTCATGTTAATAAAGGGGGGTAATTAGAAATTTATTTTCTATTAAGTCTAAGTCAATTTTTTCAATACGAAATGAATGCGTATATTTTAATGATTACATATAATGTGCACAAATATAAGCAATACATATTTTACATATTCTTCGATGTTTGAAAATTCTTTTAGAAGCATAATTATATACATATATAGAATTTAACTTAAGTGTGGTAACAACCTTAATTATAACTTACAGAATCTTTAGATAATTTATTCCCATTATCAACACCAGCTGTTATATTTGCACAGCTCTTTATGAAATGATTTTATTATTATACTAAAATAAAATATACTGAAATATTGATAAAATAAAATGCATATTTTTATTGAAGGGTATTAACGCAAAAATTACATCTTGCCTTCTTACGTTACATTGTGCTTTCTGACTTGTACACCTTGGATTCTTACATTTTATATTATGACATGCACACAATCCATCCTGACTTGCACATTTTGCATTATGGCTTGCACATTTTGCATTATGACTTGCACATTTTGCATTATGACTTGCACATTTTGCATCATGACTTGCACATTTTGCATCATGACTTGCACATTTTGCAATTATGACTTGCACATTTTACATTATGACTTGCACATTTTGCATTATGACTTGCACATTTTGCAATTATGACTTGCACATTTTGCATTATGACTTGTACATTTTGCATTATGACTTGCATATTTTGCATTATGACTTGCATATTTTGCTTTAAATTGCATGAATCATTTGTTATTTGACTATCTTCAAATTTGTCTATGTTATAAAGTTATATGTTTGATGCTAAAATCAGTTCAGATTAATGATAATGATCGTAAACTGTCTACATTTAATGTGTACAAAAATAGGAAACCTATGTTAATCGATTATATATGTATAAATAATACATGGAAGCACGCACTGTGTGCAATACAACAAGGCAGGTTGCAAACTACACTTTTTTTACGACAGAGGGCACAGGCTCAGAAACATATGTATGGAACCATACGGAAATTACCGAAAATATACGAGTATCCGGAATATCGATCACAATAGTTATGTCCCTTATTTGCAATTTAGCCATAATCTTATTTGTTACGGTTGATGTCATCACAGACACTTGGGGTGTGGAGCTTAAAACACCTTTAGAATCCAAATTAAATGTACATTTGTCAATCCCAGCACATGTGCTGCTCATAAATAGACAAGGGTGCCATAGTCACAAAATACGCCCGTTTACGAAAGCTTTAGATGGAGATGGGGGCATTATGGATAAGTGTTATCTAGCAAGCAAGTTTTTATTCTTGGCACTGTGTTGTTAAATGAACCTTAAAACATATCAGTAGGGAAGATATGCACAGGATGTGTGACCTTGACCTTGGTCGCAGGCACCTGAATTTTATGCACGGCACTCAGCCTCACAATGATTAACATTTGTGCCAAATTATATTGAAATCCCTCTATGCATGTAGAAGTTTTGCTCCAGACAAGCATTTTTCTATGAGCTCTAACTAAGACCTTCACCTTTGACCTAGAGACTTGGTTCATGTGCAGGGCACTATGTCTCATGGTGGTGAACAATTCTATAAAGTACCATGCATGTAGAAAATATGCTCCGGACAACATCTGGATATTTAATCATCTCCAGTGAGCTTGACCATGCAAATATTAACCTAAATTAAATGTGTCACACCTGAAGTCATGATAGTTACCATTTGTGCTACAATCCATCAATAAATGATGATTAAATCGTCCCTATACACATCTTCATATTTTTATCTGAACTTTGACCTCTATGTGTAACCTTGACTTTGGTCGCAGGGATCTGAATTTTGTGTGCGACACTCAGCCTCACAATGGTGAACATTTGTGCCATAAGTTATATTGAAATCCCCCTATGAATGTAGAAGTTTTGCTATGGACAAGCGTTTTTCAATGAGCTCTAAGTGTGACCTTGACCTTTGACCTAGAGACCTAGTTCATGTGCGTGACATGGCTTCTCATAATGGTGAACATTTCTATGAAATTTCATTAAAATCCCTCCATGCGTGTAGGAGATATGCTCAGGACAAAATCTGGATATTTCATCATCTTTAGTGACCTTGACCTTGTATATATTGACCTAAATTATATGTATCACAGCCATAGTCTTGATAATGACCATTTATGTTACAATCCCTCAATAAATGATGACTAAATGGTCCATATACACATCTTCATATTTTTATCTGAACTTTGACCTCTATGTGTGACCTTGACCTTGGCCGCAAGGACCTGAATCTTGAGCGCAACACTCCGCCTTACAATGGTGAACATTTGTGCCAAGTAATATTGAAATCCCTCTATACATGTGGAAGTTTTGCTCCGGACAAGCATTTTTCAATGAGCTCTAAGTGTGACCTTGACCTTTGACCTAGAGACCTGGTTCATGTGCGCGACACTGCTTCTCATAGTGGTGAACATTTCTATGAAGTTTCATTAAAATCCCTCCACACATGTAGGAGATATGCTCCGGACAAAATTGCCAGGGGCGTTCCCATAATACGTCCCGTTTTTCAAACAGGCGTATAAAAATTGATTGTATCCAAAAAAAAAACTTACTATAAGCCGTTTTGTTTCAACGTCTATAATAATACACATGTACTTTTAATTTATGGTCACAGGTATTGGAAATAAGCCCTGTCAAAAATTTGGAACTTTCCAAGAGGATGAAATATTTTACTAAGAAGTTTTTATGGCCCAAGCGCTTTGAACAACTGTTCTATTTTATAATTATTTTGTTGATAAAAAAATAATTCTAAAATCATTGATTTGAAAATTTGAAACTTGTCATTGTCAGCTGGAAATATAATTTGACCCACACAGTTTCAGTAATTAATACAAAAATTGGTTAAATCGTTTTGTATATAATTATGTTTACCTTATTTCTTCCATAGTGGAAATGGAAATTTAAAACAAAGGGACGTAACTTGGTAACTGAATCCGAACCGCAATTCGGACTTTACCGAGAATATAACTGTAGCGCCACCTGTTAGCATAATTTGGGTGTCACATATTATTATACCAGATGTCACGTCGCGTTATGCTTGCTGCATTCGGCTTTTGGCTATGCGTCATTCTACCTTATGACATTCGTTATTCAAGCTGAGTAAATAGACCCAAATATAAACAGTTGCAGGTTAAGTTATTGAATTAATACACCAGATCAACAAATGAATAATAATTGATCGTTAAATAACGATATCAACATACAATTAAGCAAGACGCACACATCAAAAAGCATAATGTGCATGTAAGAAAGCAACATGTAAAAGTCAGAATGCAAGATGTACAAGTCAGAATGCAAGATGTACAAGTTTGAAAGCACGATGTAACGTAAGAAAGCAAGATGTAATTTTTGCGTTAATTACCTTCCATATATTTTCATTTTCCATACATTCAATGTAAAAATTTATTTTTCACTGCAATAAAATATATTTTCCATATCTTCACTGGGCATAGAATCGTTCATCCAGATAACCTGTAATTCACTGCCATTCCTATATATCTGTTGGCCATAATCTTTTAACATATAAAATCATTATATGAATTAAGTATTAAATGCACTGATGTAACATAGATTGAGAGAGATATAATAATCAAGCCGTCCAGTTAGCTCAATAGGTAGAGCATTGGACTGTGAATTGGGCGACCGGTTCGATTCCCGAAAGGGCGCAGGTTACTTTCATAGTGATTTATCATGAAATCCTTTCTACAGTCATTTGCACTGTACCTCTGCTCTGGTATGTACAAAAGTTTCATTTCCTTGCAAAAGTGAAGGCAACTAGTACTGGCAAAACTGCTTGACAGCCTGCCCAGGAATGAAGTGGTGGTTGAACTGTACTCTGGTAAATTCAATTTGGCTTACTGCCATGATCCGAAGTGAAAACTATACCACCACAACCAGCACAAGATAATCAAGCTATTCAATAGTAATATAGAATTTACCTGGTGCTAGTTTAATACCGTCTGATCTTTCGTTAGATTCACCCCTCCCTGATTTTGATCGACCTGCAAACACTTCGCCTATCATAGACGCATATTCTGGAAATTCTTTGTTAATTCTGTCTAGGTCACTGGACAAGATGCACTCTCCATTTGTTATATTGTCTGTGAAAAAAATGGGGGGAAAAAATGTTACAAAATCAAAACCAAAATAAGCTTCTTAGATGTGCTTTCAAAACAAAAACAGAAATTACATATATAATATTAAAGGGTATAAAGCAATATCTTACGGCATTTTTTTATAAAATTTATAAAAAGTAATATTATATTGTTTTCATGATGATATGGTTGTTACATGTCTGTAATTTCAAGATGTTTTCGGGAGTTTTCATATACATATAGACATACACTTAACAAAATTTCTAAACAGCCACTTTTATATCATCATTTTCTCCATATCAAAATGCCGGAGTTGAAAAGTATGACACACTTTATCAAATTGAATGTTTCGTAAGAGCTTGCAAGTATTCATTCCACTCAAGCAAAACATCATATGCTATGTTGGCTATTTTTGCACAAGAAAATGGCAACATCTGTTACAGGTGGGAACTTTTACACAATTATGTTAGTTAAGTGACCTTGCCGATAAGAAAAACACCAAAAATGGCTAGAATGATGATTGAAGAGCGCGCACATGCAACTGGAATGGTGACAGTTGAAACCATTTAGTAAATTTTTAACTTTTCTCTTTCAAATTAAATTCTTATCAATAACATTTAGCTCTAGTTATCCTAATTTACATCCCACACTTACAGCTACATCCTAATTAAAATTCACAATTATATATACATCCTCATTTACATATCACACTTATGGGAAAATCCTAATTTACATATCACACTTATGGGTACATCCTAATTTACATATCACACTTATGGGTACATCCTAATTTACATATCACACTTATGGGTAAATCCTAATTTACATATCACACTTATGGGTACATCCTAATTTACATATCACACTTATGGGTACATCCTAATTTACATATCACACTTACAGGTACATCCTAATTTACATATCACACTTATGGGTACATCCTTATTTACATATCACACTTTCGGGGACATCCTAAATTACATATCACACTTACGGGTACATCCTAATTTACATAATTCTTCTTGTTCTTCTTTAGTTTTAGTTTTACCAGTCTGAAAACATTCTGTCCAGTGGAATTTTTCACACAATGACCCAGCGCATTCCTATAATGTGAAAAAAGAAATGTTTTCTTTAATTAGGCTAAAAAACTATAAATGAAAATATTCTTCATAAATTTATAGGGAGAGCATCTGATATGTTGTCCCTTACCTTCCATGGTAAATGAAAAACTAGAAATGTGTCCATAGGACACGGGTGCCCCCACCGCGCCACTGTTCTGTCAATCTTTTTACTAAGTCAAGGGAAATAACTCTACAAATACTGGATAAATCCACAAGCTAAACCCAAGGTGCAAATCTAAATATGCTGAGCAAGCTGCCCATAAGGTTTAATGACTATGTAAAATCCTTTTTTGAGTAACTTGCGACACAAGTTGAAAATTGCAAAAAATTTCTAAGTGAAGGGCAATAACTCTAAAAATACTAAATAAATCACGAAGAAAATACCTAGTGCACAACTGCACATGCTGATCAATATTCCTGTAAAGTTACATGACTCTAGGTCAAATACTTTTTGAGTTAAGTGCGACACATGTTGAAAATTGCAAAATTTTACTAAGTCAAGGGCAATAACTCCAAAAATACTAAAAATATCCACACGAAAATACCCAGGTGCACAACTACACATGCTGATCAACATTCCTGTTAAGTTTCATGACTCTAGGTCAAATACTTTTTTAGTTGCGTGCGACACAAGTTGAAAATTGCAAAATTTTACTAAGTCAAGGGCAATAACTCTGAAAATACTAAAAATATCCAGACAAAAATACCCAGGTGCACAACTACACATGCTGATCAACATTCCTGTAAAGTTTCATGACTCTAGGTCAAATACTTTTTGAGTTACATGCGACACAAGTTGAAAATTGCAAAATTTTACTAAGTCAAGGGCAATAACTCTGAAAATACTAAAAATATCCAGACGAAAATACCCAGGTGCACAACAACTCATGCTGATCAACATTCGACTCTAGGTCAAATTGTTTTTGAGTTACATGCGACACAAGTTGAAAATTGCAAAATTTTACTAAGTCAAGGGCAATAACTCTGAAAATACTAAAAATATCCAGACGAAAATACCCAGGTGCACAACTACACATGCTGATCAACATTCCTGTAAAGTTTCATGACTCTAGGTCAAATACTTTTTGAGTTACATGCGACACAAGTTGAAAATTGCAAAATTTTACTAAATCAAGGGCAATAACTCTGAAAATACAAAAAATATCCAGACGAAAATACCCAGGTGCACAACTACACATGCTGATCAACATTCCTGTAAAGTTTCATGACTCTAGGTCAAATACTTTTTCAGTTACGTGCGACACAAAAGTGAACGGACGGACGGACGGAAGGACGGACGAACGGACGGACAAGGGTAAATCTAAATGCCCGCCACTAACGTGGGGGCACAATAAAATCTGGCGGAATAGAAAGTGCACAAAAGACCGCCTGCAGTATGTATGTTACTAATAAGATGGTATCATTGTAAATGAGGCATCTTCAACAAAGAGGAAGCTAACACAAAACTTAGCATTTTTAAAAATCAAACTCTCATTTAATGATTTTAAAAACTGTATAATATTGCATTAGACTTATTAGTAATAAACAACTCTTACCCCATTCTGACATGTGAAGCCAAAGTAATTACAGTAACTACCATCAGGTGCTAACACTGAATCCGGACACTCTGCCTTGTTCCCAGTGAACAGATGTTAAGGAAATTGTAGAATTAAATCAGGTCAATTTTAATATACAGAAAAACTTATATGAGTAGTACTTCGATTTGACGTTTTTCTCAATGTGTCGTAGTAAAAACCAAAGTCCCAATTTTCCCCTTATATATTCTTTATAAATAGGGGGCCATGATGGCCCTGGATCCCTCCGTCAGGGTCCCTGACCCATCAACCGCATCCATGCAATGTCTTAGACAATCATCCTTCTTTTAAATATAATGAGAAATGAATATATGGAAACAAATTATTACATTAAACAAAATTATGAAAAGTCAACACAACTTAGTTACATCATCGCACTTTGTGTATTACTGTATAAGTGGATATTTATGTCACAAAAATTTTGTGAATGTCTATAAGTGCGGAAATATTTGCGAAAATATGATTTTTTTAGTTTAATATCATTAATTAAGCAGGTACATGTTAATAATATGCCACAATTGTAATCATTCTATTCAGTTGTTTAATACCTGTATCATTTATATAATTGTTTGAAATATACATTGCTAGTTTGATAAATTTCTTTGTCATATTTTGAAACATTCAGATGTCATATGAATAACCTATTGTGTAATTAACACATCATTAACACATTTGTGATTTGTTAAGACCAAACTATTGAACAAACAAGCAATGAGAAAAATAATTTCACAACTTGAACAGTCAAACTTATTCATGTAAGATGTTGTATGAAAACATGTTTTAAAATTATAGAAGAAAGTTTGTCTGAAAAGAAATAATTTTTGCGCAATCAAATATTTCCACATCACAAAATTAACCACTTATACAGTCTATTGATCTAAAAGTATAATGCATGGATACAGTCAAGATTCTCAGTAATGTTATAATTAATGATACATTTTTGGTGTTGAATGCACAAAAGTCACAAAAATAAAATCTTCACATAGTTGAACAAAAAGGATATGAGCAATAGGCTGCCGAGTAGCACTCATCTTTGAATCTGCATGTTTTGTTTAATGCAAATGGTGTAAAGTTACAATCGCTTTCACAGCAAGGACCTTTTGACGGGCTGAAAATACATGTTTAAAAATTATAATTTTTTTAAATATGAGGAAAAAAAAAGTACTAACAGTAATCAAGGAATTTCAATTTTTTAAACATGACCCTCTTTCTATCCATAGCTTCAATATACTGACATTTTGAATGACTACTCCCCATTCAATACTCTAGAAGACACTCCCCCCCCCCCCCCAGACATGCCTCCGCTGCCCCGCCCATCCCTTAATTGAATAGTTTATCATATGAAATGATCTCATTATATACATCTTCCCGAACACGTCATTTCCTATTTCATCACATCTACTCACACAGAATTTTGACTTTTACAAAAAGCATGCAAATCAGGTTAAATTTAAACATTATAATTATTTAACTGAAGAAATGTTTCTGAAACATGTATGCCCCACATAAACCAAATGAAATGTTTCTGAAGCATGTATGGCCCTCATTAACTAAAAGAAATGTTTCTGAAACATGTATGCCCCTCATTAACCAAAAGAAATGTTTCTGAAACATGTATGCCCCTCATAAATAAAAAGAAATGTTTCTGAAACATGTATGCCCCTCATAAATAAAAAGAAATGTTTCTGAAACATGTATGCCCCTCATAAGTAAAAAGAAATGTTTCTGGAACATGTATGCCCCTCATAAATAAAAAGAAATGTTTCTGAAACATGTATGCCCCTCACAAATAAAAGGAAATGTTTCTGGATATGTATGGCCCTCATTAACCAAAAGAAATGTTTCTGAAACATGTATGCCCCTCATAAATAAAAAGAGATGTTTCTGGAACATGTATGCCCCTCATAAATAAAAAGAAATGTTTCTGAAATATGTATGCCCCTCATAAATAAAAGGAAATGTTTCTGGAACATGTATGGCCCTATTAACCAAAAGAAATGTTTCTGAAACATGTATGCCCCTCATTAACCAAAAGAAATGTTTCTGGAACATGTATGCCCCTCATAAATAAAAAGAAATGTTTCTGAAACATGTATGGCCCTCATTAACCAAAAGAAATGTTTCTGAAACATGTATGCCCCTCATAAATAAAAAGAAATGTTTCTGAAACATGTATGCCCCTCATTAACCAAAAGAAATGTTTCTGGAACATGTATGCCCCTCATAAGTAAAAAGAAATGTTTCTGAAACATGTATGCCCCTCATAAATAAAAAGAAATGTTTCTGAAACATGTATGCCCCTCATAATCCAAATGAAATGTTTCTGAAACATGTATGCCCCTCATAATCCAAATGAAATGTTTCTGAAAACATGTATGCCCCTCATAATCCAAATGAAATGTTTATGAAACATGTATGGCCCTAATTAACCAAAAGAAATGTTTCTGAAACATGTTTGGCCCTCATAAACAAAAAGAAATGTTTCTGGAACATGTATGGCCCTAATTAACCAAAAGAAATGTTTCTGAAACATGTATGCCCCTCATAAACCAAAAGAAATGTTTCTGGAACATGTATGGCCCTAATTAACCAAAAGAAATGTTTCTGAAACATGTATGCCCCTCATAAACCAAAAGAAATGTTTCTGAAACATGTATGCCCCTAATTAACCAAAAGAAATGTTTCTGAAACATGTATGCCCCTCATAAACGAAAAGAAATGTTTCTGAAACATGTATGCCCCTCATAAACCAAAAGAAATGTTTCTGAAACATGTATGCCCCTAATTAACCAAAAGAAATGTTTCTGAAACATGTATGCTCCTCATAAACCAAAAGAAATGTTTCTGGAACATGTATGGCCCTAATTAACCAAAAGAAATGTTTCTGAAACATGTATGCCCTTATAAACCAAAAGAAATGTTTCTGGAACATGTATGGCCCTCATTAACCAAAAGAAATGTTTCTGAAACATGTATGCCCCTCATAAATAAAAAGAAATGTTTCTGAAACATGTATGCCCCTCATAAATAAAAAGAAATGTTTCTGAAACATGTATGCTCCTCATAAGTAAAAAGAAATGTTTCTGAAACATGTATGCTCCTCATAAACCAAAAGAAATGTTTCTGGAACATGTATGGCCCTAATTAACCAAAAGAAATGTTTCTGAAACATGTATGCTCCTCATAAACCAAAAGAAATGTTTCTGGAACATGTATGGCCCTATTAACCAAAAGAAATGTTTCTGAAACATGTATGCCCTTATAAACCAAAAGAAATGTTTCTGGAACATATATGGCCCTAATTAACCAAAAGAAATGTTTCTGAAACATGTGTGCCCCTCATAAATAAAAAGAAATGTTTCTGGAACATGTATGCCCCTAATTAACCAAAAGAAATGTTTCTGAAACATGTATACTCCTCATAAACCAAAAGAAATGTTTCTGGAACATGTATGGCCCTAATTAACCAAAAGAAATGTTTCTGAAACATGTATGCCCTTATAAACCAAAAGAAATGTTACTGGAACATGTATGGCCCTAATTAACCAAAAGAAATGTTTCTGAAACATGTATGCCCCTCATAAATAACAAGAGCACCGCTAGGCGGAGCATTATATGCCCGAAAGTGTTTTTTTTTAGTAAGGATGAAGCATTTGTAAGACATGGAATTCGCTGTTCATCCTATAAAATTTTACAGCTGTAGGTTGATTAATACTTAAGTTATTAATAATGACCTTAACCGTTGACCTTGTGACCCCAAAATCAATAGGGGTCTTCTACCTTATATGGACAATCATCCTAAGAAGTTTGAATATTGTGGGCCAATTGGAACTTTAATTATGCTCTAGAAACTGTTTTCAGTATTAAGGTAAAAGTGACTTTGACCTTGTGACCCCAAAATCAATAGGGGTCTTCTACCCAATATGGATAATCATCCTATGAAGTTTGAATATTGTGGGCCAAATGGAACTTACGTTATGCTCCGGAAACTGTTTTTGGTTTTAAGGTAATTGTGACCTTGACCTTTGACCTAGTGACCCCAAAATCAATAGGGGTCTTTTACCCAATATGGACAATCATCCTATGAAGTTTGAATATTGTGGGCCAAATGGAACTTAAGTTATGCTCCAGAAACTGTTTTCAGTTTTAAGGATATAGTGACCTTGACCCTTGACCTTTTGACCCCAAAATCAATAGGGGTCTTCTACCCAATATGGACAATCATCCTATGAAGTTTGAACACTGTGGGCCAAATGGAACTTAAGTTATGCTCCGGAAACTGTTTCCAGTATCAAGGTAATAGTGACCTTGACCTTTGACCTTGTGACCCCAAAATCAATAGGGGTCTTCTATCCAATATGGACAATCATCCTATGAAGTTTGAACATTGTGGGTCAATTGGAACTTAAGTTATGCTCCGGAAACTGTTTTCAGTATCAAGGTAATAGTGACCTTGACCTTTGACCTTGTGACCCAAAAATCAATAGGGGTCTTTTACCCAATATGGACAATCATCCTATGAAGTTTGAACATTGTGGGTCGAATGGAACTTAAGTTATGCTCCGGAAACTGTTTTCAGTTTTAAGGTCATAGTGACCTTGACCTTTGACCTTTTGACCCCAAAATCAATAGGGGTCTTCTACCTAATATGGACAATCATCCTATGAAGTTTGAACATTGTGGGTCGAATGGAACTTAAGTTATGCTCCGGAAACTGTTTTCAGTTTTAAGGTCATAGTGACCTTGACCTTTGACCTTGTGACCCCAAAATCAATAGGGGTCTTCTACCTAATATGGACAATCATCCTATGAAGTTTGAACATTGTGGGTCAATTGGAAGTTAAGTTATGCTCCGGAAACTGTTTTCAGTTTTAAGGTCATAGTGACCTTGACCTTTGACCTTTTGACCCCAAAATCAATAGGGGTCTTCTACCTAATATGGGCAATCATCCTATGAAGTTTGAACATTGTGGGCCAAATGGAACTTAAGTTATGCTCCGGAAACCAAATTGCTAACGGACGGACGGACGGACGGACGGACGGACAGACAGACAGACAGACGGACGCCAGGGGGTATAACATAATATGCCCTTTCGGGCATATAAAAAGAAATGTTTCTGAAACATGTATGCCCCTCATAAGTAAAAAGAAATGTTTCTGAAACATGTATGCCCCTCATAAATCAGAAGAAATGTTTCTGAAACACATATGCCCCTCATAAATAAAAAGAAATGTTTCTGAAACATGTAGGCCACTCATTAACCAAAAGAAATGTTTCTTAAACATGTATGCCCCTCATTATAATAAGCCAAAAAAAAATGTTTCTGAAACATGTATGCCCCTCATAATAATGAGCCAAAAGAAATGTTTCTGAAACACATATGCCCCTCATAAATAAAAAGAAATGTTTCTGAAACATGTAGGCCACTCAATAACCAAAAGAAATGTTTCTTAAACATGTATGCCCCTCATTATAATAAGCCAAAAGAAATGTTTCTGAAAGATGTAGGCCCCTCATAATAATGAGCCAAAAGAAATGTTTCTGAAACACATATGCCCCTCATAAATAAAAAGAAATGTTTCTGAAACATGTAGGCCACTCATTAACCAAAAGAAATGTTTCTTAAACATGTATGCCCCTCATTATAATAAGCCAAAAGAAATGTTTCTGAAAGATGTAGGCCCCTCATAATAATAAGCCAAAAGAAATGTTTCTGAAGCATGTATGCCCCTCATAATAATAAGCCAAAAGAAATGTTTCTGAAGCATGTATGCCCCTCATAATAATGAGCCAAAAGAAATGTTTCTGAAACATGTATGCCCCTCATAATAATAAGCCAAAAGAAATCTTTCTGAAACATGTATGCCCCTCATAATAATGAGCCAAAAGAAATGTTTCTGAAACATGTAGGCCCCTCATAATAATAAGCCAAAAGAAATGTTTCTGAAACATGTAGGCCCCTCATAATAATAAGCCAAAAGAAATGTTTCTGAAACATGTAGGCCCCTCATAATAATAAGCCAAAAGAAATGTTTCTGAAACATGTAGGCCCCTCATAATAATAAGCTAAAAGCAATCTTTCTAAAACATGTAGGCCCCTCATAATAATAAGCCAAAATAAATGTTTCTGAAGCATGTATGCCCTCTCAAACCAATCAATGATGACCACAAAATCAATGGGTACATCTTCTTGTCATGACCAAACTCCACAATAAATTTTATGAATGTAGACCAAAATGGTTATAAGTAAGACAAGTCTTTCTGTAGAGAACTCCACTGTGACCTTGACCTTTGAAATCAACAGAGGACAAATCTCAAAATCAACAGAGGTCATCTCCTAGCCATGACCAACCTCCAGGCAAAATCTTAAGACAGAAGATTTAAATGTTCTCTACTAACTATTCTCATCACCTTTTGTGTTCCAGGCCACAGTGACCTTGACCTTTGACCTACAGACCCAAAATTCAATATAGGTCATCTACTAGCTACGAGCACAATTTCAGGAGTGTAGATTTAAGTGTGCACTCTAAATCTTAGGACTGTAGGCTAAAAAGCAGGGATTTTTTTTTTTGGCTTATTTTATTGCCGATATTCGGTCATATTCCCAATTGAAAATAGTATATAATTTTCCCAATCCGCAGGAAAGAATTCCCAATTGAAAGTTACAAAGTAAAAGTATTGAATAACAAATTCTAAAATCTTTGAAAAAAGGAGTTTCTTCATTCTTAAATATTTGAAGATGCCATCCTAGACAATAATTCTTTCCATATATTTAATCACAGCAAAAGTTAAGTCATGCCTTTTTCCCATTTTTTTTCACAAAACATCGCTTAAATTCCCAATTCCATGGGTATGGGTCATGTTCCCAAAATCCTGGAAAAAAAACCCTGCAAGGCAAAAGAGACATAGTAACAGTATTGTACCTGCACACAGCATTAGGTTTCAGTTTACAGGCCTGCTTTTCTGTGTAGCCAGGTGTATTTCGAGCTATACAACAATTGTCTGTTTCATCCTTGTAGAAACCAGAGTCACAATCCTCCCCGTCTTCAACTATACCATTCCCACAGAATGGTCCACTCTCTGTAATAAACAACAACAATCAGGGCATTTTTTGTCAAAATTGTGAAGAGGCCTTGGCCTGTTCATTTAATGAAAAAAGCGCGATATGTCATAAAATTGTGAAAAAATGACAAAATCAAATTTGCCATTTAATGAAATTTTGAAACCGGATATGATGAAGCTTGATAATAATTTCTGTAAAATCTGCTTTGAGTCTGGTAAACATGCACAAATACCATATAACTTGATTAAAACTATTTACATGTTTGCAATAGGGAAAAATCAAGTTTTACCAGAAGGTAAACAATGAAATTTGAAGACAAAGTCCCAAAATTTTATGAAATCTCTTTTGAAATTGTAAATTTTTTCCCGCCACTTTGTGAAAAAAAAAGTGCAATTTTGAATTGTGAAGGGGCCTGTTATCGGCCCCTGTTAAAGAAGTAAAAAATGCCCTGACAATATAAAATAAACATGTACCCACTAGTGGCTTTTTCAGGTATTTTGGAATAAGATCACATACTTAAATTCGAAATAAAAAATGTAGCTTTTGAGGAATTAGAAATTTTTTTTAAGTTAAACTGTGTAAATTAAACTATCATTCTTTGTAAAATAAAAAGCTATTTTTGACTGACTGTTAAAGCCCCACTATGCCCAATAAAATGCTTTTTATTTCAGTCACAAATGCCTATTATTTTTAGAGTATTTTTACAGATTACAAACATCAACTTATCGGCCAAATGTATGAATCTATTGCTTTCTGGCAATAAGTATGGTATTGTGATACATAATTTATATGGAAGTCAAAATACTATATGTTTACATTTTGCTACTTTTATAAAAAGTCATGTCACATTAAGCGTTACTCCCTTCATGAAATAAGCCATCTAACTGGCTAAGTAACCATTATTTGAACATTATAAAATTCATGTAACCCTACGTAAAGAAGTGAAAAAGTATTCATTTCTGAGGCATATTATGCCTTAATGCCATTAACACAAATAGAAATCTTAAAATATTTCTTCAGATTAAAATTGGTATTATCAACAATTTTGTCGACAGGGCAACATTTGTTTTCTATCTAATACAGATAAAATGGAAACTGAATTATGATAAGGCATCGAAAAATATTTTCTGAGTCACTCATCCTGCAAGACCAATAGCTTATAAATCCAGGCAACATTTTTCTACTCGACCTGCATCGTGTTCACTCAAATTCTACTAATAAATACGAGCAGACAATTGGAATTTTCTATCTCTGATGATATATTTTTACCTTCAAAGCAGTTGTATTTGCCTGGGCTTTTGTTCACTATAGCATGTATGACACGTGTAATGTTGTCTTTACTGCAGCGTGAGAACATACTGTTGTGAGGTTTATCTCCCATTGTCGCACTCGCGTACATTATATAATTTCCCTGACTAGCATCGCTGGCGCTCGTTCCGTACGGTGCACATTCTATACCATCATCATGCTATAATAAATAGAGGATACTGAATGAGTGTCGGTTCAATAAATAAATTATTGAATGAGTTGAATAACTAGAAATGTGTCCATAGGACACGGGTGCCCCCACCGCGCCACTGTTCTGTCAATCTTTTAACTAATTCAAGGGAAATAACTCTACAAATACTGGATAAATCCACAAGCAAAACCCCAGGTGCAAATCTAAAATATGCTGAGCAACCTGCCCATAAGGTTTAATGACTATGTCAAATCCTTTTTAAGAAACTTGCGACACAAGTTGAAAATTGCAAAAATTTAAGTGAAGGGCAATAACTCTAAAAATACTAAATAAATCCAGACGAAAATACCTGGTGCACAACTGCACATGCTGATCAATATTCCTGTAAAGTTACATGACTCTAGGTCAAATACTTTTGAGTTACATGCGACACATGTTGAAAATTGCCAAATTTTACTAACTCAAGGGCAATAACTCTGAAAATACTAACGATATCCAGAAGAAAATACCCAGGTGCACAACTACACATGCTGATCAACATTCCTGTAAAGTTTCATGACTCTAGGTGAAATACTTTTGAGTTACTTGCGACACAAGTTAAAAATTGCAAAATTTTACTAAGTCAAGGGCAATAACTCTGAAAAAACTAAGAATATCCACACGAAAATACCCAGGTGCACAACTACACATGCTGATCAACATTCCTGTAAAGTTTCATGACTCCAGGTCAAATACTTTTTGAGTTACGTGCGACACAAGATGAAAATTGCAAAATTTTACTAAGTCAAGGGCAATAACTCTGAAAATACTAAAAATATCCAGACGAAAATACCCAGGTGCACAACTACACATGCTTATCAACATTCCTGTAAAGTTTCATGACTCTAGGTCAAATACTTTTTGAGTTACATGCAACACAAGTTGAAAATTGCAAAAATTTTTATAAGTCAAGGGCAATAACTCTGAAAATACTAAAAATTTCAAGATGAAAATACCCAGGTGCACAATTACACATGCTGATCAACATTCCTGTAAAGTTTCATGACTCTAGGTCAAATACTTTTTGAGTTACATGCGACACAAGTTGAAAATTGCAAAATTTTACTAAGTCAAGGGCACTAACTCTGAAAATACTGAAAATATCCAGACAAAAATACCCAGGTGCACAACTACACATGCTGATCAAGATTCCTGTAAAGTTTCATGACTCTAGGTCAAATACTTTTTGAGTAACGTGCGACACAAAAGTGAACGGACGGACGGAAGGACGAACAGACGGACTGACGGACAGACAAGGGTAAATCTAAATGCCCGCCACTAACTTGGGGGCACAAAAATCAGTTTTATTCAACTTTGTTCAATAATTTTAGTATTGAATTTACGTGAATATAATATAAAATTCTATTTATCACATACTCAACAGATACCCAACATAAGAACTGTTCACAGTGAAAAAATATTACTTTCGCTTTGACGCGCCTATAGTATAACCCTAACATTTAGCATGCCTTTGGGTTATGTTTGCATAATGCAAATGATGTAATGTCAAAATATATGCTAAGTCGTGCAGTACCGTGCATATGAAACGATTATAGCTTTAAAACTTTACTTAGTCTGTAAAAGGGAACGCACCTTCCAATACATAGTTTAGTTATTCTTTTATTCAAATTAGACATATTCAAGATATTTAAGATTTCAATACATTACTGCAACAAAAATATTTTACTCAAGGAAGAGCACAGTGTATCGTTAATCGACTTACCGGCGAGCCAAAATTATGACCAACTTCGTGAGCAAAAGTCAGTTGTGACACTTTAGAAGGCACTTCCTTGCCATAATTTACTGTTGATACAATCCCTGTATTTAAACTTTTTGACACGGTTGCGGACTTCTCGCTGAATTTCTTGTTTCTCTCACAAACTCCACCAGACGCAGCTGTAAAGTATTGCTTGATTGGTAAAAAGGTTGCATACCTCCAGATGAGCCAAAATATTTCAAGAAATTCAATCTTTAGAAAAATGTATTAAGATCTTAAGAAAAGTAAAAAGATTCAATAATTTATTAATTGTTTACTAATGACTGATTTTGCAGTATCAATCACTATAATTCTACTGCTTTACTAGCACAGTAAGAGGTTTTTATGTATATTTTGACCTCTTTTTGGTACTTAACGCGGATTGTTAGTGTTGTTTGCAATGTATAAATTACTTTCTTTGTTCACTTCACAATATTTTACTCTTAAATCCATTTTAAAATTTTCATGAAAATTGCAGTCTCTGGAGGAAAGCTGTTATGCTGTTTTAATGCCAGACCAACACAGTATAACGTCATATGTCGCCGAAACAGGAAAAAATGTAAAATTTCATTGTGATTGATCACGAAATCCATTCTACAGTCAACCTCACTGTACCTCTACTCTGGCAAGGCATGTACTGATCTTAAAAAGTTCTTTGTCAAAATTAAGTCTCTAGTACTGTTAAAACTGCGTTACAGTCTGCCTAAGAGTGATACAGTGGCTGAACTGTGCTCTGGTGAATATGCAAACTGGTTTACAGTGGTAAACTACCACAACCACCCACAACCAATTTTTGATACTTACAGTTTGAGGCCCCAACCCAGGCTAGGCCTAGAGTTCCTGCGGAGAAATCCCGATATGTAAACACGTAGGCAAGACAAAATCCATCATGGTTGATAAGTGAATTGAGATTTAGGAAATTACTGACGTCGATGTTAGGTTGACAGAATTGTCTGAGGTCTACATCATTGCAATCAGCCTGTGTCATCACCTAAATCATACAAGAAATATAAAGTTAGTTTAGTTTATATAAATCTAAATCATACAAGAAATATAATGTTAGTTTAGTTTATATAAATCTAAATCATACAAGAAATATAATGTTAGTTTAGTTTATATAAATCTAAATCATACCAGAAATATAATGTTAGTTTAGTTTATATAAATCTAAATCATACCAGAAATATAATGTTAGTTTAGTCAATACAAATCTAAATCATACAAGAAATATAATGTTAGTTTAGTCTATACAAATCTAAATCATACAAGAAATATAATGTTAGTTTAGTCAATACAAATCTAAATCATACAAGAAATATAATGTTAGTTTAGTCTATACAAATCTAAATCATACAAGAAATATAATCTTAGTTTAGTCTATACAAATCTAAATCATACAAGAAATATAATCTTAGTTTAGTCTATACAAATCTAAATCATACAAGAAATATAATGTTAGTTTAGTTTATACAAATCTAAAACATACAAGAAATATAATGTTAGTTTAGTTTATACAAATCTAAAACAAACAAGAAATATAATGTTAGTTAAGTTTATACAAATCTAAAACAAACAAAAAATATAATGTTAGTTAAGTTTATACAAATCTAAAACATACAAGAGATATAATGTTAGTTTAGTTTATACAAATTTATCTTAGTTCAATTCAATTTAATTCCTTTAGTTCAGTTATGTAGGAAGCTATAAGCTTATTGAAACAGTCTCAAATTCATAGTTCTAAGTAGTGAGTGTAAAGTTTCTTGTCCAAATGAAACAACGGCTTGGCCCTGAGAAAATATGAACCATCGGCCCAGCAATCCTAAGATTACTAGTCTGATTAGTAAAAACTCGGCCACATTGATATAAAACACTTATCAATAAAAGGTCTAACTGATTTTCTGTTTTGAGCTCAACGAAAGGACTAATTATGAATATTTCTGTACATATTGATTTTGTTTTATATGATTTTAAGAGCAACAAAAAGCAACAATTTTTTTGTGTTTTGCACTCAAAAATGTTTTATACTGTGTAACTTCTGAATTCCAGAGATCAAAAATTACACTCGTCCACTTGTACTAGTAACAAGCAATTATCATAGTATTGCAAGCAATCCATAAGTCCCCTACCGGTTAGAACCCCAGCAACATTCTGAAGGGCCATTGGCAATTCACTTATGTTTCTATTTTAAGTAAATTTGTTGAAAAAGTTCTTTAAAAGTGATCACAGGAAACAGTTTTTATGTACAGACAGACGGACTGAAGGACACTCTACAGTTATTTTTTAAACATCCCTGTTATCAAAATATAACATTTTTAAGAGCAAAATTTTTAAAAAGGAGATAACTCTTGAAATAAAGATGCAAGATGTCATACCTGATGTGAGTGTAACAAAGAACAATTAGTAATGAACGTATGAATAAAGAATGGTTATTTTTAATTTGAAGTAAATGAAAGTTAAAAGAACGAATAAGAAAAATTAAAAGTTTAAGGAGGAGATAACTTTGGAAATATGGATGCTAGATTTATAAACCTTGTCATATTATTATGATGTGGGAATTTGAAGAAAATCCTATCATGATTGAAGAAGTTGAAGTAAAAATTACCAATTTCTCGAAAAAAAGTCTAAGTTCAAAAGGGGCCTAATTCTGGAAATAGTCTTGATAGAGTATTGAACTTTCTCACAAATGTTAAGTGATAATAAGAAACATATATAATTATGAAGTTTGAAGTAGATACATTCAGAAAAAAAGAAGTTATTAAAAAAAAACAATATTTTTGTTTTCATGAAAATTTAAGTTCAAGGGAGGTAATTCTAATAAATTTTGTGCTAGAGTTGTAAACTTTGTCACATATGATGTGGTTGATGACTAGCAACTTATATTTAAAGTTTGCAGATAATACCTTAAGAAATAAAGAACATATAGTGAAAAAACTTAAAAAACTAGAATCAGAAATCTTGAAATTCAGTCCATTTGTTGCCATAGCAACCAGGAAGATAAGAAAAGGATGTGCATAATTTCCAGACTGCCATCTACCCATATGTCAAGTTTCATAAAAATATTTTCAGTACTTTTTGCGTTATCACTGGATCCAGGTTTTGTGTAAAATTTGCTATATTTTCAGTCTATTTGTTGCCATAGCAACCAGAATTTTCAGAACAGGAAAAAAAGAAAAAGACGTGCATAATCTCCATACTGCCATCTATCCATATATCAAGTTTCATAAAAATATTTTCAGTACTTTTTGCATTATCGCGGGATCCAGGTTATGTGAAAATTTTGCCATATTTTCATTAGATTTGTTGCTATAGCAACCAGAATTTTCAACATAGGAAGAAAAGAAAAAGACATGCATAATCTCCATACTGCCATCTATCCATATATCAAGTTTCATAAAATATTTTCAGTACTTTTTGCGTTATCGCGGGATCCAGTTTTGTGGACGGACGGACTGACTGACGGACGGACGGACGGAGGGTAAACCTAAAGTCCCCTCCGGTAAACCGGTAGGGGACTAATTAGGAGTAGAATTTAAGAGACTTCGATGCAGGACAAGTAGAAATTTTTTCCCCCAATTGCACCTCAGGTTGGATTCAAAATTGCCACCATCAGCTTATGCGTTAAGTTAACCAATAACATGTAGAAACAAATCTAGACCAAAATTTTGGAAACAAGAACAACAAACTTCTCCATAAATGACTTACCTTAGCTTTCTGTACAGCAAATGTAACAGCAGTGTATGATATTGTATTATCGTACGTCGCAAAAGTTGTAGCCATATATATCTTCTTTATAGCATCAATATGACTAGCAAAAAATAATAATATAGCGTCTCTTGCCAACTCGTTGTTCTGAAAGAAAAACCAAATATAATCATTCTAGTTCTAAGATAAATGATGATTTATTTGAAATAAAACTTTGACAAGTATATCATGTTCCTTTTTCTATCTGGATAAAAACCAAGTTGAAAAGTTTCTTTGCTTCCAAAAGAAACATGGAAGACATACACTGTTATAACTTATGTATTGTTGTAATCTGGTTGATAAATAAATGCAATATGATATATATACGTGTACTTCTATTAATGTCTATGCCAAGGAATAAAAGTGACAACTATTATTGTGTTCTTATAAATCTGGATATATATGATATAAGGTCATTAAACCCCAGATTGGCACTGCTGAGATTGTTTGTGTTCCTGGCTTTTTTTACATACGTTTTTGGTCATATCACAGTGGTTGTCCACCTAACCGGCTAAATTTCTGGATAACTAACCAGTAATTACCAACTTCTCTGCAATTACTTATCCCACATTTCTGTATCAGGAACTGAGGGACCTTGTCCCAGGTCTAAACCAGCGACCCAGATATTACTTATCTGTCCTCACCCTGTTGAGCTTACAGGGTGGACGACAAAGTTAATTTCTTTTTAAAAACTAACTCTCACAAAAAGATGTAAAAATTTTATCTTCTATGGTGCTCACTTAAATGACCTTAACACAATACATGTATCTTTGAACAAGGAAACATGTAGAATAATCTATTTTTAGATTCAGAGGCCTTGAACTTTTTGTACTTACACCGTTAGATTTGACCAGGTAGTGATCATAAAGGAAAGGGTCGGACATGAGCGACATGAAGCATGAATTCTTCTTATAATTAACATCTATTAACGAAGATCTCTTCTTGCGGGAAACAATTTTCTCGGATTTCCGGTTGGCTTGTTCCGTATATTTCTGGTGTGTATCTTCAGTCTGAATCTCCTGCCAGGCGGAATCATGCTGCAAAAATAAATAAAGGACAAAATTGTTAACACTGTTAAAACAAAAAAAGCTCAGTAGACTATACATGTATTGTTTCAAAAACGTAGGTAGTAACAAATGACCTTCCGAGAGCTAGATATTCAGGTCTGTTACAACAGCTGGTGTAGGACATTTTTTCTTACATATTACTTACATTTCAGTAAGACATTATGAAAAAAATATTTCAATTCAGCACTTTCTTCTTATAGTAGCGTATGAATTCACAACTTTATTCATAACGGATAAATGATGTCATCCAAAGAATTCAATTCATTCATAAGAGGCGGGCGGGAATGACATCAGTTTAAAGCACGCAACTTGTCTTACACATTGGGCTGTAAGACAGGTTTGTCTAGCATTGGTGTCTGATAAGCAAGAAAAAAATATTTTAACATGTAACAATGGAAGCAACAACAACCAGGAACAGGTTGTCCTTTTTGTATATCAATATATATCCTCTCTCTAAAATGCTGTAATCTTCAATGTTCTCAGTGTTAAATAAAATATTATCATAATTCCCTCTAAACAAAACAAATATCATCTATACTGGTTTGGGAGATAAACTCCGCCGAAAATCAGTGTTTTGGGGGCATATTTCATTTATTTGTTTACGTATTCTGATGAATCTTACACCATAATAAACTTCAGCTCTTCGATTTTCCGGTATCACCATAAAAGTTATATTTAGAAACATAACGGGTAATTTTGAGAGGCCTTGGAAGAGGTACGTAAAAAAGGATATTTTTAACGCGCGCGAGTAGATAATTCCGGCTCTTTGTTTTTTTTCTTAAATGAGTAAGTTAAAACGTAAAATAACATGTTTAGACATTTTATTATTTCTTTGCTGTTCATTTATGTCAAATAAAAGATATTTGTTACCAATATTGTTGAGCATTACGTTAGTATAATGAATATCTATGATAACACAATATTTATATGCACCGTTCTATGTAACATATAAACCATTTTACGTAAAAACACATGCATTATCATTTATTAACGTATAACGAAATATGTAGTTAAAGAATTAGTGATTCAAATTTATTTTTGCTTAGCTTAACAGAGTGAAGAAGAAATTAATTTAGTGGTATTCAACTTACACATTAACATATAAAAGGAGCATTTAAAATCAGTCTTTCAATCCATTCCAATTAAAGATTACAATTGTGTAAGAAGCCTTTTTTCTGAGTTAGCAAGACAAAAGTGAGTCTGAATTTCATCTACAAAATGTATACGTCTACAGACGTTGTCTGCTTTACCGGTAGTCGGTCAATATATAAAAGTACCCCTGTGCGGGCCTCAAAATGAGCATCTGCTGCACATGCGCACAACAATGGGATTCCCGTACTTTTTATAGGCATGTTTTGTAAACAAACAGGTAAAAGTCTGTGTTATTTTTTAAATATCTTACCAAACTTGACAAAATTTCCAGATATTGTCGAATTCCAGCGATAGTACGAGATGGTGAGCTTGATTAGATAAAAAATTCCGATAACTCGATTTAATTTTAAAAAGCCGAGTTTATCAACCAGCCGAAGTTATCTCCCCAACCAGTATGTATAATTATGCACTTTTTTTAAAAACTACAATTTATTACTTCTCAGTGTTAAATAATATATTAGCATAATTCACACTAAACAAAACAAATATCATCTATATGTATTATGCACTTTTAAACACTACACTGAATTACTTTTGTAGCTCTGTTAGCATAATTCACTTGAAACTAATCTCCTATATATTCATTATATGAGCCGCGCCATGACAAAACCAACATAACGGGTTTGCTACCAGCATGGATCCAGACTAGCCTGCGCATCCGCGCAGTCTGATCAGGATCCATGCTGTTCGCTTACAAACCCTATCACAAGTAGAGAAACTGATAGGGAACAGCATGGATCCTGATCAGACTGCGCAGATGCGCAGGCTGGTCTGGATCCATGCTGGTCGCAAACCCATTATGTTAAATTTGTCGTGACGCGGCTCATATTCATTTTATGCACTTTAAAAACTACAATGTATTACCCTTTTAGCTCTGTTAATTTCTTTTATCTCTGAAGCTACAACTTGTCTCATCCATTCTTTGGCGTTTGTATTACCACATGTCCCCAACTTTTCAGCATCTCTTTTTTCCCTGAGTCTTCTCTCCCTAAACATACAGTATGGTCGAGGTTTTAATGGGGTTTTTCGGTTTTTTTTTAACAAATAGTACGGTAGAGGTTTCTGTGTTGGTTTTTTTCACAAATAGTATTGTAAAGGTGTTTTTTGGGGTTTTTTTCGTAGACAAACTTATTAGTCATGATTGTAATGACACAGTATGGAATAGATTTTTATTTTAGCAAATATAGTATGGTAAAGTTTTTCATATAGAATATATTTGTACACATGACAGTGATAATATGGTATGGGATAGGTTTTAAGCAAATTGCCTTACAGCCTGTTAAAGATCAGGATAAATAAATAATCTTAGTAATATAACAGATTAAAGTTAAACAATGAAATGTTCATTTAGCCTGAAAGTATAACAATTAAGAACTAAAACAATGAATACACAAGTAGGTAAAAAATTGCACATATTGGTTTTATTAAATCTGTTCATTTCACCTGATTTAGCAGCCTTCAACCTTCAAGAAATTAAATCTTACAGCAGAAAGTTGACACAGCATCAGTGTAAAACCTAGAAAATCTAGTTGATATGCAAGAGTATTTATTCTATAATGCTTCACGTTATTTCCTCATAAATAGACTGAGTACTTGAGGGTAATATATAGAGAATATTTGTTTAGTTCAGTGTAAGACCGGAATATATTTCACCGAGTGAGCACCAAAAGGTATATTTCACGAGTGGCGCTGCCACGAGTGAAATATGAATTTTTGGTGTTCACGAGGTGAAATATATTTCGATCTTACATAAAACTAAACAAATTTTCTTTTTATTATATGCAAAGAAACGTTTAAAAAGACATTTTTACCCCGTACTAAATAAAAAGGGCGCCAAATAATAACACAACGTGACATCATTTACGACGTCACTTCATTAAGTTGGTTTCTAGTACTGTGAACGCTTGTATTTCAGTGAAACAACGTAACAGGCTTAAATATTCAAAACAGTGAAATTACCAAATGGATAATTTCACTGTTTAAAACAGTGAAATTATCAGTTTTTATTTCACTGATATATTTCTATAAACCACCGAAAAGCATGTAATAAAAAATGATAATACTTACATGTAAGTACACAAAATAAGAGAAAGAATGTTTTATAGGCACATTTAAAGCCCTAGAAATAGTTACACTTTTTCTTATGTGTTTTTTAATGTTGTTTATAATAATGTATTTAGAATATGCGAGACGCTTATCACCATTTATTATGGCTAGCGACAGGAAGACAAGAGGAATAGGCAATAACAATATAGGTTGTGTTGTCGCTATTGACGAAGCAACGCGCAAAGTGTACCAAATCAGCCACCATAATTTATGAAAGAGTTCAGTGCTATTTTCTTCAGATGTTAAGCATCTAACTTGCTCTTAATCCATTATTTTTTACATGACATGTATGTAAAACACATGTCTGCTCTTTCTAAAGAAGGAAAAATTAATTCATTTCTGAAGCATAATGTGCCTTTAATTAAATGAATGTTGATGTCATATGAGCAAATAATAATAGATAATCATATAAAAATTTCTTCTCTACTCAATGTAGTTAAACTCTTAATTAATTAATCAATTAGCAATTGATATAATGGCACTACCTACAATGATACAAGTATATAATACACAATTTCTCCTTCAAATTCTTTGAACTCAACCCTTATCGCACTTAAATATCTTAAAGTGGATTAGTCTTCAATGGGCACACTTTCCATAAGCATTTCATATATTTAAACAAGATTGCATTTGAGAAAAATGCTATGCCACCGCATTAATACAACACTAAATAGTAGTGTAGGAACAGATTTTTTTTTGTTTCTATACAATTGAAGATTGTCATAATGCATAGATCCCTGACCTATCTAATTCTTATTATCAGATTAGTGATTAAATCTATTGTTAATCAAATAAAAGATCAGAGCAGGAATATATCAATGCACTTGAGTCTAGTGAATTTGGTGGTGAAGGTCATATTTCACACAGCCAAATTTCATGACTACATCAAAGGACAACACAGTAAGACACTTTGTCAAAATCTAGGTAAGCTGATATCAAAGTCCACTTTACATCTTAATCTGTGCACATGGTTCAAATTTCATAGCTGTAGATCAAAGCACAAGAAAGTAGGTCACATTATCAAAATCTAGGTCACCTGATATCAAAGTTCAATTTTACAACTAAAACTGTGCACATGGTCAAAATTTCATTGCTGTACATCAAAGGACAAGAAAGTAGGTCACTGTCCCCTTGGTCAAGGCAAAATTTTGACCCAAGGGTTTAATTCAGAACAATCTTGATACAGGTCCACCAAACAACATTTCAAGTCAAATATCTAAGCTGAAGCTTTCTCCCATTCAGAAAACATTTGTTTTATTTTCCGTTTTTACTATGTGTACATAATGAGAATCATGCCCCTGGACAGGGCCAGTTTTGACACCAGGGGAAAAATTTGAATAACTTTGGTAGAGGACCTATAGATGATATTATATAGCAAACATGAAAGCTCTATGCCTTGTACCTTCAGACAAAAATATTTTTTATTTTTTTACTAGATATACATAATGTAAATCAATGACCCCCGGGGCGGAACCAATTTTGACCCCAGGGCTAAAATTTGAACAATCTTGGTAGAGGTTCACTTCGCAAAGTCTCATGCCATATATTTCAAACTCTAGCCTTTTGTCAATTCAGAGAAGAAGATTTTTCAAGTTTTTACTTTATACATATAAGGAAATCTAGCGCCTCTGGGGCAGGGCAATTTCAACACTAGGGGTATAATTAAAACAACTTTAGTAGAGGACCCAAAGATGATATTATATACCAAATATCAAAGCTTTAAGCCTTGTACCTTCAGATAAGAAGATTTTTTAATTTTTACTCTATGTTCATAGTGAAAATCAATGACCCCTAGGGGTGGGGCCAATTTTGACCCCAGGGTTATAATTTGAACAATCTTGCTAGAGCTTCACTACACTATGTTTCATGCAAAATATCTTACCTCTAGCATTTGACAATTACTAGAAGATTTTTTTTTAAGTTTTTACGGTAAGTTTTTACTATATACATGTAAGGATAACCAATGACCCCCGGGGCGGGGTTGATTTTGACCCCAGGGCTATAATTTGAACAATCTGGGTAGAGGTCTACCAGACAATGCCTTCTGCAAAATATCTAAGCTCTAGGCCTTTTGGGTCCTTATAAGAAGGTATTTTAAGTTTTAACAATATTTACATATAGTGAAAATCAATGACCCCTGGGGCCGGGCCAATTTTGACCCCAGGGCTATAATTTGAACAGTCTTGGTAAGGGTCTACCAGACAATGCCTTATGCAAAATATCTAAGCTCTAGCCCTTTTGGGTCTTTTCAAGAAGGTATTTTAAGTTTTTACTATATGTACATACAGTGAAAATCAATGACCCCCGGGGCGGGGCCCATTTTGACCCCAGGGCTATAATTTGAACAATCTGGGTAGAGGTCTACCAGACAATGCCTTATGCAAAATATCTAAGCTCTAGGCCTTTTGGGTCTTTACAAGAAGGTATTTTTAGTTTTTACTATATGTACATATAGTGAAAATCAATGACCCTTGGGGCGGGGCCGATTTTGACCCCAGGGCTATAATTTGAACAATCTTGGTAGAGGTCTACCAGACAATGCCTTATGCAAAATATCTAAGCTCTAGGCCTTCTGGGTCTTTACAAGAAGATTTTTTAAATTTATTCTTCTAATTCCTTTTGGTTGCCATGGCAACCAGATTTCTGCATGGAATGAAATTCTTTGAACAACTTTGGAAGCCCTTCACCCAAGGATCAATCCTGCCAAGTTTGGTTTAAATTGGACTAGTGGTTTTTCACAAGAAGATTTTTTAAGTTCACTATATAATCTATATAACACACACACACACAAACAAACACACACACAGGTGAATCGCTATATGCCACCGCATCGCAGATGCTGCGGTGGCATAAATAAAAAAAAAACCACCATATAATTTGGATATACATGTACTTATAAAATATTTCTTGGAGGAAAAAAAAGTTTACGGAATTTAAAGTGATATATTAAGATCATATAGTATAATGATGAATAATAATATTTTGTTCTAGAACATCTTTTTATCTGATATATATAGATATTTTATATCAGATCATGAACCTCACACTTACCAAGAACATCTATATATGAGCCGTGTCACGACAAAACCAACATAATGGGTTTGCGACCAGCATGGATCCAGACCAGCCTGCAAATCCGCGCAGTCTGATCAGAATCCACGCTGTTCGCTATCAGTTTCTCTACTTGTAATAGAGTTGGTAAGCGAACAGCATGGATCCTGATCAGACTGCGCGGATGCTGGTCGCAAACCCATTATGTTGGTTTTGTCATGACACGGCTCATATAATTATTTCAGGGTATTATTGTCATGCTTGATACTACTGAACTCTATGACAGTATTACAGACCTAACATTATGCCCTTATTCACTTTAAATTGGACTAGTCTATCTTACAATCTTAAGACAAAGCCATTCATTGTTTTAAAAAAAACACACAATGTAATTGTATTGATTTCAAAGCAAAAAGAGCAGACCATCAGGTGTGATAGCACGCCTGATTTGAACCTTTTGCGGCAAGTTTGAAAACAGTTAATCATTCATATAATTATATTACTAGGAATCTGAATTTGAACTGTGTGTTATTGTACAAGAACACGTTCAAAATTATGGGGGGTGTGGTATGGGGGAGGGGAGGGGCCATAAAAATTACCTGAATGGGTCCAGGTTCATGTCACTTTCTTTATAGATGACAGAATGGAACTGTGGCTTCTTATCGAAAAATCTGTAACTGTTTTCTACATGATATGTCTCTTGCTCACTGGGTATATGAATGGAACCAGTGAACACACCCTGTATAATCCCACCCATCACAGAACTGCCCGGTTTATCTGTAAATATAAATTATTCACTAACAGAAATAGAAGATATTCAAGTTTTTTTTTTCCTATAATACTTAAGTAAAGATTTATTTTCATCAAGTGGCACATAGAAGGATATTCAATTTTTTCTATTAAGACTTTAGTAATGGTATATTTTAGTGAAATATGATATAATTTTCATGCCAAGAGATGAAATTAAATTCTGTATATTTATAAAAAAAAACTTTAAATTTTCTATTTATTATATTTATACTTTTTACTCATATTGGATCTTACAGTTATTAGTGAGGAAAGAGACTTCCATATGAGCCATGTCATGACAAAACCAACATAATGGGTTTGCGACCAGCATGGATCCAGACCAGCCTGCGCATCCGCGCAGTCTGATCAGGATCCATGCTGTTCGCTTACAAACCCTATAACAAGTAGAGAAACTGATAGCGAACAGCATGGATCCTGATCAGACTGCGCGGAGGCGCAGGCTGGTCTGGATCCATGCTGGTCGCAAACGCATTACGTTGGTTTTGTCATAACACGGCTCATATAATTATTTATTTGATATGAATTTAGTTTAAACTAGTTAGGAAGGACACCAGTGAAAATAGGGATAAATAATAATTATTTATTTCACTGCTTTGAAAAATAATTTTTTTACAGTGAAAATATGATAAATGAAAATATGCATTCTATTTCATCAATATTTCTCAATATTACAATTATAAGTATATAATAAATAATCATGTACATGTCACTGTTATTTAAATTCTTGATTTTTATTAAAGCCCCATTATGTCCGAAATAAGCATTTATCTTAATTTCTCAAAAGTGTGATTTTATTTTATGTGTCAAATTCTTCCTTGTGAAGCATGTACTGTATCTAAAACAATTATTTAAATTTTATAAAATTCATGTTTGCCATTTAAAAAGAAGGAAAAAATTAATACTTATAATTGAGGCATAATGTGCCTTTAAACCTGTAGTATCAGATTTTATAAGGATGGCTTTTAATGTATTAGTTTCTATGAAACAAAAACAACAACAAATATTTATTTGGTTGGTTTTAGGCCGTTACAACTAACTGACAATGTTATGGCTATTAAACAACTTGGCGAAGAGGAACAAATTATTTTTTGGAAAAACTGGCACTAAAATCTTTTAAAAGCAAAACAAGATATTGAAAAATATTGTTATCAAAATATCTTAATCTGTTTAAAAATGTTCTATACTTTAACTTATAGACAATTATAATATACTACACTGTTTTTTATTTTACTGATTATAAATTTTTTAACTTCCTGAGTTAAATATCACCTTGCTTATTATCTACAACAGGAAGTAAAGGTTATTGTGTTACATTGTGCTATTACATCTTGCCTTACTATTATAAATTATTAGCATTATAATTGTCATTGTTCTTTCCCCATTAATTTTTTTTCTTCCTTTTTTTTTTGGTTGGATTTTATGTCATACCAACATAGTATAGGTCATATTATGGCAACTTTCCAGCTTTACTGGTGGAGGAAGACCTCAGGTGCCCCTCCATGCATTATTTCAGGGACAAATTGCCAGAAACCTGAACCTAACAGTACTGATCCCGCACTGTATTTAACAGTACTTTTAAACCCTGTCTCTTACATTATTTATTCAAGCCCTGAATCTTACAATACCTTTTCACATCTTAACACTGATAGTACTATTCACAACCTAAACTTTACAGTTCTTATTTAAACCTTTAACTTGACAGTACTCATTCATATCCTGCACCTTACAGTACTTATTTGCATAAAAAAATTAAAAGTATTTATTCACACAATGAATTTAACATTTTTTTTATTTTCTTATTCAAACCATTAACATAACAGAACTTATTCACACCCTGAACCATAAAGTACTTATTCACACCCTGAACCATACAGTACTTATTCACACCCTGAACCTTACAGTACTTAATCACAACCTGAACTATACAGTACTTATTCACAACCTGAACATTATAGTAATTTTTCACATTACAGTACTTATTCACACCCTGAACCTTACAGTACTTATTCAAACCCTGAACATTGTAACAGTACTTATTCACACCCTGAACATTGTAACAGTACTTATTCATACCCTGAACCTTACAGTACTTATTCACACCCTGAACATTATAGTACTTATTCACACCCTGCACATTACAGTACTTATTCACACCCTGAACCTTACAGTACTTATTCACACCCTGAACATTATAGTACTTATTCACACCCTGCACATTACAGTACTTATTCACAACCTGAACCATACAGTACTTATTCACACCCTGAACCAAACATTACTTACTCACACCCTAAACCATACAGTACTTATTCACACCCTGAACCAAACAGTACTTATTCACAACCTGAACATATCAGGACTCATTCACACCATAACCCATACAGTACGTATTCACACCCTGAACCAAACAGTACTTATTCACAACCTGAACATAACAGTACTCATTCACACCCTGAACCATACAGTACTTTTTCACACCCTGAACATCACAGTACTTATTCCCACCCTGAACATTGTAACACTACTCATTCACACCCTGAACCAAACAGTACTTACTCACACCCTAAACCATACAGTACTTATTCACACCCTGAACCAAACAGTACTTACTCACACCCTAAACCATACAGTACTTATTCACACCCTGAACCAAATAGTACTTATTCACAACCTGAACATATCAGTACTCATTCACACCATAACCCATACAGTACTTATTCACACCCTGAACCAAACAGTACTTATTCACAACCTGAACATAACAGTACTCATTCACACCCTGAACCATACAGTACTTTTTCACACCCTGAACATCACAGTACTTATTCCCACCCTGAACATTGTAACAGTACTTATTCACACCCTGAACCTTAAAGTACTTTTTCACAACCTGAACCATACAGTACTGATCGTCATTCATTTTTATTACCAAGAAATCACACTTACCTTTAACTTCTCCCTGGTAAATGAAGGACAAGTCTGGTCTTTGTTTTGTCCCATTGAACTCGAGCACAAAGTCTGGTGTGAACACAGATGCATCATGCTTTAAACGTAAATTGAAGTTTCTGAAATAAGAAAATAGAAAATTACAAGTATTTATATTAGCCAGATTTTTTTCCAAAAAACTTTTACCTTTTACATACATAAAGACTGCAGAAATGATTTTTTTAATTCTTTAGATCTTTAGGCATTCATGAGTTTTGTTACATTAAATAATGCATTTACAACATGTTAAATGGTTGATGAAAGGAGAGCAGAGGGATACATTCAAGTACCTTGAAGTCAAAATTTTTTACCAGTGCTCTGTCACTGACACCCCTTTCAGAAGATTTAAAGCATTCAATAATTAGGCAATCCAAGTAATTCAAATGTAAATGGCAAAAACCACAAGGAAAGACCTTTGTAACATACGAATTAATGCGGTGCTTTTTTCATTTACCCTGGTGACCTTGACTTTAACCATAGTGACCTTTGACCACCTGACCTCTAAGTTGGTCTGGTGTGTTAACCTTATCAATATACATGAAGTTTGAAGGCTGTGGGTTGGATTAAGACTTCTGCGTTATCATCAAAGTTCAAGTTTTGTGAATAAAACAAACAAACAAACTGACAGACAAATAACAAAATGCTCTCCCAATGATCTACAACTCCAGGATGTAAAAATCTAATCTTTTTATTGATACAATTCACATGAAGTGTTATCACATTCTACCCTTGAATATTTATTATCTACTTATCTCTATTTTGTTGAATTATACATACTATAAATTATAAACCTAAACACCAAAGAAATGTTATACCCTTTCTTTGATAAAAAGCCAATCTTAACATACACTTATCATCAAAGTATTCATTCAAAATACATCAAGAAAAATATAAATATCTAGTGTTGACCACTATTGATGAGTTTTGACTGTGACAGTTTTTACCCAGTTTTGACCACTATTGGTGAGCTTTGACCACTATCAATCAATAGTGACTGTCTAACCAAGTGCCGACCTCTTTTTATGAGCTTTGACCACTACCAACCAAAAATGTCTGCTTATTACCAGTATAGTCCAATTAAAATAAACATTGACTGGCACCACCTGGTTAAAATTGACTGGCACCATCTGGTTTATGATTAACTAACAAGGAATTACCCTATTTCTCCGCAAGTGATTGACAACTTATCCCACATGATTTCTACATCAGCAGTGAGAGACAAATGACCATCAAGTTCATAAATAATAAAAATATCTGACATGTTTGCGGTTCGGACCGAAATATCCGTCCCGAAGGGATCTGCCCATGGGCGGGTTCCCAAGGGACGGATATCACGATCCGAACCGCAAACATATGTCAGAGATTTTTTCTTGCATATTCTAACTTTTAAGACTAACTTACTTATCAAATGCATTTAAGTTTAAATGCACTGCGTTATCTATTGAACGTTTATGCCGCATATGTTTATTGTGTAGTTGTTCTGTGTTATATGTCAATTCCTCATAGTGCAGTATATACTCGTCTAATTGTTTACACTCTGAAATAAAACAATAATAACAATTAATTACAAGTCGAATTTAAAGTAAATTTGGTCTATATTACAAAGATCTGTTATATATATGAATAGTTAATACTTTGACAGCCTATGTAGTATTAGTTTGTTTGTTTGTTTGGGTTATACATCACACCAATACAGTTTAGGTCATTTGGCGACGTTCAAGCTTTACTGGTGGAGGAAGATGTCAAGTGCCCTTCCGTGCATTATTTCAGGCACGAACTGGCACCTGAGTAGAACCACCGACGTTCCATAAGCTAGAAAGATAGCTTCCTGTATTTAGTATTAGACATGTATAATAACAAACAATGAAAGAATTTATATAAACATGAAAGTTGTAGGCAACTTGACAAAAGTTGTGAGATAATTATGATAGGATATTTCATATATATTATATTTTATATAGTGGATAATAAAATGTTCTAGAATACAATATTATAATTCATCATATACATTGTAAATGTTCAATGTACGTCACTTAGAATTTTAACATTCTATTAACTAAAAATTAACAACCACCATCCCCAAACACATTGACCCCCCTACCCCCAAACAACAACAAAACACAAAGGTGGGTTAATTACGTTAGCCTGATAATACAATTTTCCTTTTTCCCTTTATATCAATAATTATAGGATAAATAAAGATGTCAATTAGTTTTACAAGTGGGTTGAATTTTCAGCCGCATTTTGTAAAACTCTCAATATACTGTATTTCTCCTGTATAATGTTTCAAATTGATATTTTTGTTCATATCAGTAAAATCATAAATTTTAAATATTGCAGAAAAAATATTTTGTTATATTACTTTTAACCTATTACCTGCCTTTATTCTTTAAATGTAATTATACATGACATTGTATCATATATAAAAGTACTAGAAAAAATATTTTGTTATATTACTTTTAACATTTTTTTTTTTGATGCGTTTATTTAAGGTCGCCGCCGGAAAGCCCATATGGGCGACCGTACACTCAAGTCGGGCCTTCCTAGAGCGTCCCGCCGAGATTTTTCATCGATTTTTTTCCAGCTTTATTGGTGGAGGAAGACCCCAGGTGCCCCTCCGGGCATTATTTCAGGCAAGAGCTGGCATCTGGGTAGAACCACCGACCTTCCGTAAGCCAGCTGGATGGCTTCCTCACATGAAAGATTTCGACCCGAGTGAGGATCGAACCTACAGCGGTGAGGGACCTGTGATCTCAAGTCAGCGACCTTAACCACTCGGCCACGGAGGCCCCTTTACTTTTAACAAACACCCGCTTTTATTCTTTCAACATTTATACATGACATTGTATCATATATAATATAATCATAACAACCAATTCTTCTTGATCATACATTTTAAATACCAGAATAACTGCTTTATTATGGTATAACTTTTAACCTACAACCCCATTTATTTTTTAAACATTTATACAGTCATGACATTGTATATGATATTATCATAACAACCATTTCTTCTCGATACCAGAAAAAAAAAAATTGTCATATTACTTTTAACCTATACACCAACCTTAGATTATTTGTTATACTTGACATAGTATAATATATAATTCTAACATTACCCAAACAGGAAGATTTTTATGTCACCCTGACATTATGATCGTCACTATTCAGGTATTATATATCAGGTATATAAACTTGGTATAATATTACATTTATTTACCCAGGTGTATAACTTACATTGTAAATTGATCTTAAGATTATACAATCTTATTTTGACTAACATTTCTGTCTTATCTCAAGCAGTAATTTCTTTATACTTGTCCCTATGATACAATACTTATACAGTAAATTCTAGGAAATCTTCATTTTACTTTTTGAAATTTTGTACATTAGCTTTAGGATATTTCTAGCTCAGACTACCTGGAAAATAATTACGGACAATTGATTTTACTGCCCCTGAATATTAGATGCCTTTGTCTTATTTGATATAATACAATATCTTGTAAAATTTCAGTCCAGTCATGACATCTTACATTAAACATTGTTCAATTGTTTTTGTATTTGGTTAAGCTGCTGGCCTAAGTAATGGAAAGGCAAGCTTCAGTCTTTTAATACAAAATACACTGAAAACGTGTATTAAGTCTTAGATAAATAAAATATTCGATTTCAAGGTTTGAAACCAAATATCAGCTAAAAAGAACTGTTTTCATTAGCTTATGTAACAGTTTGTTGTGATTTTTTTTTAATTAACATGTTTGACAGTTCTATAGGAAGATGTATGACTGTTAACATTGTTTTGTTGAAGTTCTTGATATTAAAATGACAACATCTGTATATATCATGAATTACTGGTGAAAGTTCACCTGTAATTAACAAGAATCAATTAACAATCAACACATAATACATGTTACATCTGTTACAACTGACATTTTAACATATGATCAAATCTTAAGGCACAAGGTTGGGAAAAAAAAGCTTCTTAAGTAACATCTATAATCTCTATCTAGGGAGAGGAACAGTTTCCTTTCGTTCTTAAATCCCTTTCAATTTTATGTAACAATTATGATACATGTACATATAAAATGTAGTGAGTTCTATATTGTCGCCTGGCAATAAGTACAGTAATGGGTTAACTCTTTTTATGATTTTATAGGAGTTAAGCTGTTATAGCACCAATGTGACGATATATATGTTATGACAATTACCTGTAAATATAAGATGAAAATAATTTATAAAATTTCAGATAATGTGGTTATATTTTTATGTCAGCCATGATTAATCATTAAATACTTTCAGTATTCTCAGATATCAATTTAGTCATGACTCGTGTATTGACAGCTATATAATTACAACTGTCAATTAAAATCACTAAACAGTTGTACATGTATATGAAACTATATACATGTGAATGACTATATTATAAACACATGACTCGAGTTATTAATGTAATGTAATTGTGTAGATGACTGTAACCTGATTAATGTTGCTTGAAGGTAAATAAATAATACACCCTACCTCTAAAACAACAACTAAATTACAGTGGTAAAATATTTGTAGTTGTTTTTTATGCTAATTTGTGACTTTTACATTATAATTTAATATATAATAAAAGAATGTTCTATTTCACAGGTCTCTAATCTACAAAAAGTTGATAGCTTGACATTCTTTCTAAGTTTCAATAAAATATAAGCAAGTGCTTATAAAACATAGCTCAATATGCCACTTCTGACCTTTTAATTTACCATTTATTACAGGAACCATCCGGTTTAGCTCATTAGGTAGAGCATTAGACTGTGAATCTAGTGGCCCTGGTTTCATTCCCGGACAGTGCCAGTCACTTTCGTTGTTATCACATTGTAACTTAATTGGCACTTATAAAATATGTTAAATCAAATGATTTTCTAAATCACTTATAAAACCTTTCTTGTCAAGAAATATTTAACAATGATATCCAAATAAAATATTACTATTGTTTTTGTCAAAAATTTGAAATACTTTTGAAAATGTGCCCTGATATACATGTATGGTAGGCCAATCCACTTTAAAATGTGCTCACTAAATAACCGACCAATCCACTTCACTAAACCGAATCAGTTCCCTTACAACAGCTCTATCAGAATTTCACACAAGGACAATAACTGGGACAATAATTGGAGGAGAATTAACAGATGAACAATAATGTAAAACTTGGTAATCCAGTTATCACATGACCTCATTGTTGTTGGACTGGTTATTGATTCTATAAGAGACAATATAGTGATAACAAAAACCAGTCTGTGTTCTTCTGTCCAACATGTACAACAAAAACAACATGCACAAAATTTTAATACAATTACAGACGGGCTAATTAATTAAATTTCTTTACTAACCATAAACCAATCTAATTCCCGTGCTCATAAAATATGATACAAATTAAAAGCTTAGTTGTTTAAATTTAATCAAACCTACCAACTAAACCTTATGCTTTGTTCAAATGTGTATGTTTTTAAGAGCTTTTACATGCAATGCAGAGCAAAATTAACAAATCTTTGGAAAAGGAATTCTTAAAGAGCTGCTTTCCCCAATGCTTGTTCCTCAGTAAAACAGACACCTGAGTGGACAAATAAAGGTAAAATTGAGTAAGATACCAATTACAGTAAGGTAAAATTAATTGAGTTATAGGCCAATTAAGGTAAAATTGAGTTACAGACCAATTAAGGTAAACTTGAGTTATAAACCAATTAAATATTGAGCATATCTTTATAAGTGGTTTTTATGCTATTGACATGAAGGTCCGTTATTAAAAGTTCTGTGACCTAAATCAATTACTGATCCCTCAGAGCATGCAAGATTTATATGAGAAAAATCTAAATTTTTCGTTCTACTATTTTCTATTGTGCTGTGCTAAATATTTTACAGTGTAAATCAAATTAAAGGATCTTATGAATACTTTATAAAGCACCTAATTTTGCTGCTCTTTGATGCAGAGTATTAAGTGATATTGTTTTGTGCACTGTAAGCAGGGTGTTCACTAGCCATGAAATCTTGAGGGTCATTTTGACTAAGTTTTACTGACTACAAGGCAACATCCCCATGAATTTAACAAAACTCTGACCATGGCTCCAGTTAAAATCATGAGGGTCAAATCAGGCATTTTGGAAATTTGAAGGGTCAAAGTGTCATTTCAAGGGTCAAACGGACACCCTGTGTAAGTTTTCATAGAAGATAATGTTACACTATCCCAATCGGAGAATTATTGTAAGTGTTTATAAAACAGCAGGAATGTTGCTGCTTTCATAAAGTCATCTTGCATTTATTACATTAACACTCATTGTAAAAACCTTCTCCAGATACCTGTATACAATTATATACAGCCTCTATTGTAACAATAAGAAATTGATCATTTAAAGGGACTCCACTGAGGTTTAAAAACCTAAAAGCATAACATTTGAATTTCTTACATAAATGAGCTAGGGCACTTTAAACAGAAATATATGCAAAGATAGTTTAACTTAGGAAATATACTTTGAAATAAATTGAAAATCGTATTTTTATGCT